GTTTTACTGATACAACACACCAGTTGGAGCCACATAACGTGTTTGACGGATAACATGCACGTTAAAGTTAACGTGAGTGATACAGCACAGGGCTGTATGTACTTACTCTATGTCTATAACCACAGACTACATACTATTCTATAACCCCTGTGATCTGTGACCTGTGAGAGGCTCTAGCATCAATATTTATTTGTTCGGTGGTCTTTATCTATGACAAGTTGTTCGTTACATTCTGTCGTTCTTTAAAACTCGCAGCTCATTAACTAAGAGGAAACATGTCTTCACTTATGCGAACACTGCTCAACTCTGGCTACAAAATAAGCTATGACGAAATAGAACCGGGCCTCTATTTGGGAAGTCGTGCAGCGCCATAAACATCAACACTTTGAAGAAGATAAATGTGTCTCATATTCTTACAATCAGTGACAGCCTTCTGCCCTTAAATATTGAGCTGCCACGCATCAAGACAAAATTCATTAAAATAAGTGATCAATCCAAGGAAGACCTACTGATCCACTTTGATAGTACCTTTAGGTTTATTGAGAAGGGTTAGTTACCAGGGTAGTTTTTGCTGTTCTCTTAACTAACTCACGCTCCGGATGTTGCTATTATAGGATTAAAACGCGGATCGGTATTAGTGCATTGTTACTGTGGAGTTTCTAGAAGTGCCACAGCGGTTATTGCCTATGTTATGAAGAAGTACAGATTGTCCTACTCTGAGGCCTTACAGAGAGTGAAGGCAAAGAGGAAAATTATCCGTCCAAACGAAGGTGAGTGACTAGGAAATGCATACAAAACTGATCTTTTCTGCAATTAGTTTGCATGAGTTGCCCTTAGCAATCGATAGCATTTGATCTCATATATCTAATTTTACAGGGTTTGTAACACAGTTAGAGCTGTATAAAGACATGGGGTGGACAATAAATCGTAACCACACGAAATACAAACTGTTTCAACTGAATTTGGCTGCATACCGAATGCGGGCCAACCTAACATTGCCGCAACATTTCCGTGTTATGATCAAACCTGATCCAGGTCTCACTGAATCCAAACCTGATCCTAATGTTATCAAGTAGTTCATACACTCTAAATGCTCCAAACGGTTTGATACACTTTCAGTTTGATTTCAGGTGCAGAAAATGCAGCAGAGTTTTAGCCTCCGAAAGCAACCTGTTTGAGCATCAACACAAACAAAAACCATGCAACAAAACTCTTTTTATTGAACCAATAGTGTGGATGAAAATCGACCGGGTGAGTTTCAATTTAAACAAGTGATGGAGATAATCGAATTGCTGGGTAATGAGAATCGAATTGATACGATTAACTTGTTGAGTTTAATCCATGAGCAAGTCCAAAATTGACTATTTTTAGTTAAATTTGGGAATAGGCTGAATATGGTATTTTCATGAAATTATAACTTCCTTGTAAGTAATGTAAAATCCAAGAAAATTGTAGAACGTTTAGTTGATCATAAATGAACAGAATAAGCAAACAAAGAAATTTGCAAAGGGCCTATTTAATTCAATTATAAAATTTCCAAGAGAGAGCAGCAAGTAAAAAATCGTGCCTCTTCTCTCACAAAATCTTCTCTCACAAAATTCTAGTAGGCGAGACGAAAAAACCCGCCCTGTCTTTGTAATGTATTGATTATACAGGGCGTCCCACCGGGAACCGCCGCGATCAATATCTTGCAAACTGTAATTAGCAGAAATTTTAAAATTGGGCAGTGTGCCAAGGTCATTGGGAGCACGCCGCCTAAAATACTCTCAAGGTGGCCACACTTCCGGTTATACCGGAAGTGCATGTCAAGTTGCTTATTTTAAATGGAACACCCTATATATTATTAATTTTTTTTATTCTACTCCAAATTCTAAATGTATTTCATGTATAATATCCTATACCTAAGTCTAACTGTTTTTGAAATATTTGAAATTTTATGTTAAAAATAACAGTTGCAGCCTCTCGAATAATTATTCATTTTTCCTATAAGGAAATTTTTCATACTTAATTTGTGTCGCAGTTATTGTTGAAAAGGACTTACTTTAATGGAATTTCGAAAACATTTTGAAAACTATTAATACAAAGTGTTAAAAAAATAAGTTCCAAAATACAGTTGAGAAAACCGCACAAAATCATGTTTTTCAAATGGAAACCCCCATTTTTGATGATCTTGTCACATTCAGTATTAAAAATAAGTGTAAGTTTGTATAACGATGTCTATTCCAAAAGTGTTTAGATGTCGAAATATTGCCAATTTAATGTTCTGGCACGATTTTAGCGATAAGTAAAGCAGACCGGGCGGTGTTCAGTTTTTCTATGAATTAAACACAATATTTTATCTTACCAAAGATTACTCCAAATTAGAGCACACTGCTCAGGTAATAAAAACAATTCGATTATTTCTATCACTACTTCAAACCGATTGGTTTATTCAACATTATTCAACGCATCTTTTACCTCAGGATTTCCAAGGAAAACTGCAGTGCCCGAAATGCGAGCACGAAGTGGGCTCGTTTAGTTGGATAAGGAGTTCGTGGTGTGAATGTGAATGTGGGAAACAAATGGTGCCTGCCTTGTACTTAGTACCATCGGAAGTCGACCGTGCCAGTGTTGTTGAGAATGTGGAAATGGCTTGCTAAGTTAGCCGCTTGGTGGTTTTTGGACGCATTATGTTTTAAAAATCCAGTGCCAAGATCAAAAGGCGGTTCAAATGATCCTGATGATGCCTGATCGTGACAATACATATAATGAATTAAAAAACGAAAATCATTGTTTTTCGCTCTTTTTTTACCAAAAAGTTTCATTGCTTGATCGAGGAGTGAATGCTGTAAATGAAACAGCTGTTTACCTCATTTGATTAATTGATTAAAGCTAGTCTTCATAGCATCGATTACTGTTAATATTTCTATACCATTATATACAGGCTGCTTAATTTAATAACGAGTTAATTAAAGATAAAATAAATACTGTTTTGATTGTTTGATTGCTTGATTAAAAACCAATTATATTTTTACAACTCCTGGACCTAACTCTCAACTTGCCGCGAATTTGTGATTAGTTTTCAAATAGTGCTTAATAGGTTTTAAGACCTTAAAACCTTGAAATGTATAACAAGCCTAAAGTATAAAGTTCACTTTTCTTGGAGACTATATCGGTCAGGTTTTCGAGTTTTTCTTACCTTGTTTTTTCCATGCAAATAGGAACTTATTACGAATGATCATCAATACATTTTTATTGAGCTGTAAGACCGTAACCATTTTACTAAAAGTCCTTGTTATGTTCTACCTGTTTTTCGTTTTCTACAGGCCCAAATCGACACGCACCCAACATTCCCCACCTTCATTCTCTCTCTACTAATATACTCTCTGGAAATAAGCGGGCGGCCGTTTAAATATCTGAAAATTGCAAATTTTTACGACAAAATATGTTAATACGATTGAAATTACCTTTGATTGACCTTCCACGGCACAAACACCTGGGAAAACTTCTGATTTTGTAGTTCCACATTGCATTTCCACCGTTATTGCAGAATTTGTTTCCTAGTTTCATCCAGTTTTTTCGCTTCCCCAAAGGGGTCGTTTTAAATAAATTAATCATCATGCACCTAAAATCTTCAGGACTATGCCTTCTATATTTTCTAAATATAGATTTGCGCTTTTTTTAGTAATTTGGTCCTATTGCCAGGAGTTTTTACTTTCCTATAAAATTCTCCTAATTAGCAAATATAGTTTTTCTATTACACTGTAGCTCCAACCACAAAGTGTCTGTGACAATGTCGCATTGATCAATTTCCTTTATTGTCATTAGCTTTACACGTTTCTAAAAACGATTGAAGCCTTGGAATGCTGACTATGCTCAATGAAGCGGCTACTCAAAAGCATGACCAGTAATCCCAATTTGCATAATTCGCCCGGCCTGAATTTGTTCAAACAGCGAGTCCGAACCGAGCAGAATGTTCGAAACCTTTTCGAATCCTCTTCGTTCGTAATACCCAATCGCATCAAACATAAATCGTTGATTGCTGATGAGCTCAAAGATTCAAGCACGCAAACCAGTAGGACTGTGGTAGCGCTAGATATAGCGGAAAGTCCTAGAATGTCTCCGGATAGTTTAAGTCCAAAAACGCCTAAAATTGCAAGCACAGGGATGCAGTTCAACAGAAAAAATTACGTTTTAAGGTACCTTCATAAACCTGATCAGAAAGAGACTAGACTTTCCGATAACTCTCTGACGAAAGTATTTCTAGGTAATTTACTGAACTGAGAGCTTAAGTAATACTAATAGAGTGTTTCCACAGAAAAAGCGCGTCGAAAGAGCCAAGAATCAAGTTCTCCTAGAATAACCAGATCAAACTTTCTACAACAGACCTCTCCTTTAAGACACATTATTCCGACAGTACACGTACCAAATTTTAAGAGTCACTCCTATGCAGCTTTTCCAGAAGGTCCACGTCAAACCACCGAAGCGCCTAATCCCCGATTTAAAGTGAAAAGCATCAAAGAAAAGCTTCCAGCTTCCAATAGTGTTGAACCTGGCAAATTCTTAGGCGACAAAGAATTGACTCTAAACTTAAACAGTCCAAAACATTCACCAAAAAGTGTGAAAAACTATTCATTCATGTCTCCGACGTTTTCAAGTGAACAGAAAAACAAAATGAGGGACATTAAAAATGTTGCCCAGTTAATAGCCCCAACAAGACGAGGACGGAGCGCTAGTCCAAAAGCCAATGTTGAACGAACGCCTTCGGTACCGAAAAAAGTGCCGTACATTGATAAGAGTTCTTCTTCGATTTTTCACAGTACTGGAGATACCAGCTTTAACTTGAACCTAAAGTCTCCTAAATTAGTAAGTGGTTGAGTTGATTATTTCTTGCGTGCATGAGAATGGCGCTGGTTTTGAACGGATTGAGTTCAAACAACATTCTTATAGGCCGTATCAAGCTCAACTATTCTGGAAACATGTGCTGATGGAAATCCTGAGCACGAGCTAGTTCAAGCTATGGGCAAAATGAGAGATACTGATTGGTAAGTAGGTCAATTTGATTGCTAAAGTAGGGTTGTTAAGAGTTTTAAAAACAATCTTAGTTTATACAAAATTATCCAAGGAATTATATACGTTATTCTCATCTAAGAATACCTACATATTTATATTTAAAATGTGTAAGTTTTGAGAGAAACTGAGGCAACTGAAAATAACGTGGCAATACACAGGGTGGTGCATTCAAGATTTGATGAATATTCCAGTTTCAGTCCATCAAATTAAATCAATCATCAATAAATCATCAATCATCAATAAAATAATTAATTAAATAATGTGTGTTTGCACAGCACAACGTGATCACTAATTCTGTTATATCAAAAGTTCCAAGTTCCAATAATCCAGTTCTTTCGAAGGAAAAACATACGAAATTAAAACCAAAAAAAGTAGCCAGTTTTATTAGTTATGTTGTTAAGTAGATGTTTTACTTTTAATCATCGTGATTTTAAACAGTGAGCTTAAACGAGTTTAAACAATGGTCTCAGTGGTTTAAACAAAGAGGGCGTTGACTAACTTTTTTAAATGTAAGCAACAATAATAATGGCAGTAAATTAATTGAATTCTTATGGACTGATGGTGAACATATGAAAATATTCAAGATTCAAGCCTGCAAGATATGCCCAAAAAATGTTTTCAATTGGGATACTCTGTATATCTCAATATCACGCTACTCGCCTGTTAATCTGTTTTCATCATAGTCAACTAGCCACCAAAAAATTCAGCCGTTTTCAATTTCAGCAGCCAATTATTCGAAGTTAATTGAATTAACCTTAACTGATTTAACATGCATTGTATACTCGAGAAAACTGGGTTTGAAAAAATGATTATGATTGATTGGAATAGCAACAACTAACCTTCCTAGAGAAAATATGACTCAATTTGTTAGTACTCGAACCAAATAATAAAGATTAAAGCAAACAAAAATGATAAAATAATTATCAGAAATATAAAAGAAATTGTACTTTTGTCGGATTGCTCGAATGTTAAAAAATATCGATACATTTTCGACAAAAAATAGCATGTTACTTCCTACAAACATATGAACATCTATAGAAAATGAAATTCAAATTTGTTTAAGAACATGCTCAATATTGAAAATATTAGAGACCAATTTTACACGCGTTGTATTATTATAGCTATGGGGCGCTTTAAAAATATTCCTTTCTGCAAAGAAAATGTTTTTATGGAATAAAAAAAGTAATTTAAAGTGCGTTTTAAAGGTAGGTACTTACATAAAAGTGTCAACGAATTGGCAAAGCAAAATCACTTGATGATGATGATGATGAACAATGATCAGTTATAGTTTTCGTTGTAAGAGTTTCTGTTTGATCAATTTTCCACTTAATCTGAATTACTCGCACATCTTCAAGCTATCCTTTTAAACAATGTGTTAAACACTCCACATGCTGCATAATTTCAAGAAAGTTGCTTATAGTTTTGCAGACTTATTGGTACCATAAATATTCAAATTACCAACTGAACATCGACTGTTAAAGAAAGCATTGATCTTTAAAGGATTAAAGACCGTTTTAGGAATACGTCATTAAGAGGTCTGGTGGAAATAATAGAGCTCTGTCGCACTATGGACACGAATATTATCTATCCCCACATGACGGTGATCAATCAACGAATCATAGATATGTTGAAAAGCTCCAGGTCGCATGTATGTCGTACCACGTGCAAAGCCATTGGCCATTTGTTCGAGTATATAAAAGACACTAGACGACCAGTAAGTAAATCATAAAGTAAACGCAGATTAGCTTCTACATTAGACAAGAATTTGACTATATTTTCTCTTTGCAAACAACTATGTTATAACAGCTCTTCTTAGCTTAGCCTCACTAATGAGGCGCAACAGAAATTAATAAACAACGGCTCAAAACCGCTAGATATTAAAACACTTTTCAGTTCTTCTGCCTTCGCTGATCTAGAATGCAACTACACATTTGTCTTCCAACTAACAAGGATTTAAATTTAAGGAATTCGATGAAATTGTGGATACGCTTCTGTGTAGAACAGCAGATTCTAACAAATTTATAAGGCATGATGCAAATTTGGCATTAGATTGCATGGTAACGCACATTCCCATACTGCATGCTGTGCGAGCTCTCTGTGCAAAGGTGCCCTTAGATTTCTATTCGACAAAACACTGAAGACGCATTTAATTTTCAGGGTCCAGACCATAAAAATGCCCTTGTTCGAATTTCCACTGCACGACTGGTCGTCTGTGCAGTTGTAATAGCTGGATCTACCTACGTTTTGCACCCAAATAACAGTGATTACACCAGGCGAAGAATTGTGCTTAATATGGTGAAATTTTTAAACGATAAAACACTAGAAACAAGGTACATTTTCAATGCAAGCGGTTAAAGTTAGGAAGGTAACTAAAGCTTCTTCTAGAAAATACGGAGAACGCCTTCATAGGCTACTTTGCAATGATAGAATGTTTGAAATATACATTCGAAGGTACCTGGAAAAAGACACCATACAAAAGTTAAAAGCGTCGGTTAAAAACCCGCAGAAAAATGGAATACGCTAGAGAAATTTCCGATTAAAATTTCATAATGTTAAGTGAAAAGTATTGATCAAGATTGCACCAAGACCTTTGTATTGACAGGAACAACCCACAGATGATAATACTGAAGTAAATAAATTACCATACTCGATATTTGAATGGATTTCAGTGAAACAAACGGTTTTTAAAATACAGAATATATTAACATGTATTTCTTACAAAACTAGGCAGATTTTTTAATTTGATTAATAAAAACTTAACATCTAAATCCAGTGAAGTTCTGGATTTAGTTAATATTCTATAGTAACACGAACAAAATAGTGGAATGCACAAACACTCATTGGTATAATATATACAAGGCGTTAGAAAACGAAGCAAAGCGCTCCGATTATAATCGATCCAAATTCAAATTAGTAAAGTTATTAAGTGAGTAAGTTTCCACCCTTCATTTTTATGACTCCCCCAGGATATTAATCGCTGCTCTTTTGTGTTTCTAGCGGCCTTGATGATGACGTAATTGTCGAAAACGCTTGGCCATATTTAATATTCCAGGGTTGTATTAAACCAATTCCCTGAATCAATATACAAGCTTTATTACAAAAAAAATATCTCGTTTGATTCAATTTTCCTCAGTGTCTGCACACCAGCTTCCTTCCTTTCTAATAATAATAGTCTTTCTAGCAGAAACTATTATCTGTCGTAATTTTCAGCACTGAACGTATCATATAAAACCGAATCGAACAGTGTTCTCCTTACTTATAAACTTTTGTGTCGTGTTTTTTGTTCTTTAATAATTACAGTCGAGTCGTATCTATAACATAAGTCTTTTCATTTTAGTTTAAGCCAACGGATTATTTTTTAACACCCTGTACGTATCAGTTAGCAAAGCTTTTCAATATCATCCGAAAACACGCAATGCTAAATAAATAAATTGGTGTCTTTAAAGATGCCGATATCTTGACTTAAAAATTTGTCCAAAAGCAAAAACAAATTGCAATTAAATATTGCCCAGTTTTGCGTACCTGCATATGCAGCCTCTAACGCTTTGATATGCTTTATATAGACATTTAAACACATTTGTGTGCGGTACAACAATTGCGTAATTACAAGGAATACTTCACTAATAAATAAGAATGTACAAAAGGTATAAAAGATAAAATCAAAAATATATACATCAATAGTAGTTAGATAGTCACATAAATACCAGACAGACCAATACAGTTCAATAATATACAGGTATAGCTTCAAAACGTTTAGCTTAGATCCGCTTAAATAGTATATATAGCTAGTTTGTTGTTTTAAACTAGAATTACGTCCGAATGATGATTAAACAAACTTGCCCATTTAGTTGTAAAAGAAATACAGCAAGGAAAAACGGAAACTTTAAAATGGGTTTAGATATTGAAATTCGAACTAGGACGTTGAATACAAAAAAATACTAAAAAGTAAAAATTTCCTAGTTCAAACTGAAAATTCAGAGAAAGGCATACATGAATAAGTTTGGCACTGGAAGTATCTACATGTTTTGCTACGCCTTAAGTATAGTATGATCCCTCCTTAGATATGTAGAACATACATTTCTAGCAAACCTTTGAACCGCCCTATTAATAATTACAATAAATTCGCCCATGTGTCGTTAGAAAAAGTCAGTTTCTCCAGTTACTGATATAAAAGGTTTCTATATAGTTACCCTGATAAAAGTGATTATCTAATCTTACAGTACTACTGTACTTACTGGTACAGCTAATCTGGAATAACCAGTTAAGTATAAAGGCGTTCCATCTTTCTAAAATTTCTGAATCTTTATATAGTCTAAGTGATTGGCCACCACATTGGATACTATAATTTCTTCGATTTCCATTCCGCTCAGCACTTGCTCCCTGCCCATCACCAGTTCATAATTATTATCGGGAGTCACAAATACCACTCTTGTCCGCCTGGTTTGAAGAATATTTCCAATAACCAACTGAAGAAAGCATAGATTATTAAATAGACAATGTGACCCTTACCAATACAAACCTTATGCTTGTATTTGTTTAAAGCGTCTCTACCCTTCGTAATTAAGAGGTTTTCATCAGTTTCTAATTTAAAAGATACCACAAATGCATGCGGCACCCACAAACTAACTAACGGCGCTAACAGCTTGGGTACCAATTGCAGTTGAATGTTAGGAGCTGCTCCTCCAGACTGAATCTTATGCATTGGCTAGAGAACTATACAAATGAAGGAACTCATCTTTTTCCAAAATAAATCTGGCTCACCATCTGATTAGCCGGAACGTAAAAGTCGGACACCGCCGCAGCCAAGTAAAGCAGGGCTTTAGGTCCAAATTGGGCCAAGCATTCGCACGCCGCCCGTAATAACCAGAAATAATCCGATACCGTTGTAAAACTCACATATAATATTTTACCATTGTCTTGAGCTGCCTTGTAGCTAGCCAGAATTGGTGCTAAAACATCTACACTGTCCGGCTTAACTAAAATAAAGACTTAATCACCACTTTTCGGTCGATTAAGGAACCTGTTTATTCACCCGTGATCGATGTATTCGGTCCTCTTTCATGCAAATCCAGCATATCCATAAATTTTTGACCGTTAAAATGTCTCGTAAACGGTTCTAAACTTTTCAATCTGTGCATGAATATCGTCACATAGCCGTGCTCAAGAAAATACTCAGCACTGGCTGCACCTCTTGTGCCTGCACTAAAATTGTCCACAAATCTCACAGTGTTGTGTTCCAAAGGGACTGTAGTTCCACCCGACTAGAACAATGCATTTTAGAGTGCCAGAAATTGAATATGTTTTCCTTGATTTATGAACTAATGAAATGTATAACACGATTTATGTTTGGAACTGAAAATCATTTCCCATTTAACCGACTCTCAATATCTTTTAGTTTAGAAGATCTCTCTCACTCATTGAGCATGAAGTATAACTGACAAAGAAATTTGATAAAAATGTTGTTTCATTTTCAATTGATGAAACTGTAATAGCAAAATCTCCTGCAATTTGGCAATTGTAGTCAAAACCTCTCGAAAATAGTACCAATAGTAGTCAAAAATCTTTGTAGGCTGGGAGAAGAAAACGCGATTGTCTAGTCGGCCTTGCTCAGCAAGAAGAGCTCAGGAAGGTCCAATTGCGAGGGGTGTTATTCAATTCAATTTTGACTGTAAAAATAGTCGTTTATTCTATCGTCTATCCTATTCTCAAGTTTGTGGGTCGTAGAGTACTTGGATTGGTGGATTGTGTAGTTACGGACTAGTAGCTTTGTGTCTGCAAGGGTCTGGAGTTTATACACTGCTCGATTAGTTGTTTTATCATGCGCTATAAGGGTGGTGTCGGCAGCGCATTGAAGTAATTAACAGTTTTGGTATATTTCTTCTTTGCCTGCTGTTATTATAACTTGAAAATATTATAGTGATTCTGCTGAAAACGAGATTGACGCTTCGAAAACCGAAAGAGTCTGAATGATAGTTATCTTCCTCTCAAAGAGCTACCAAATTTACCGTACTGTTTTTAAAGCTTTGGTAACCCGTATATGAGCCATACTTTTTATGTTTTAGCTACGCTCATTAACCTTATAGTCTCCTTAAATGTTTCTTACATCAAACATGGGATAAAGTAGATCCATTATAGTTATAATCAAAACATCAATGAGATAACTATGTTTCCATGATATACATACATAGTATGTTTTGAAATCGCTAATCAATAAAACTGCTTTTTTATTAAAATGGACAACACCTGGCCTGCAATATGAGTATCAAAAAAGTACTAGATAAAAATGTGCAATGCGACCACTCCAAGCAACAAAATCGACCTTTTATACCTAAAAAATATTTTTCGCTGCATTTTTACATAAAATCATTCGCTCCGAAAATATTCAAGAACAAAATGTCTCGCTTCAATTGCAATTTTCTATTGAGCTTAGTTCTGATAATTTGCTAGATCAAGGTCTTTTAAAAGTTCAATAATGTGCAGAAAATTCACTTTCTTTGGCAACACAAATTTGCAGCTATGTGTAGTTAAGATAAGATAATAAAAAAAAAACATATTTTATAGGGTGTTTAAATAGTGTCATGTTTTCATGGTCAAAGTATACATCCGCCTGCGGGCCACATCGGGTAGCTCAGATAGAAAAATCATACGTTGTTATTGTCTCATGTTTGCTGAGTAATTTGAATCTTTAATCGTCTAATAATATATAGCTACAAAACCAGCTTAATAAAACGTAGATATAGACGTGGCAACATCAAAGCTAAAAATTCTTTCAAAGGTGCTTATTTTGTGTATTTCCATTGTTTTGTCGAGCATATTTTCCGGAAAAAAATTGTAATTCTGGTCGAAAAATGGATTTTAAAAAACCTTTCAAGTAGAAAGTGCTTGGAAAGGGATAAACGACAATGTGAGTACTCTTTTATTCCCTTGAGACATAAACGGCAGAAATGCCTCTGACCTTAACAATTACCAAAAGTTTTTCATAACTTTTTAAGTAACCTCTGCAGTGGGACGCCCAAATATACGAGAAACCCTTGTACATTTAAATGTTGGTAATAAGTTAATGGAAAAGTAATGAATTTCAATGAGTGAGAAGTGAAGGAAAACCGAATTTCCGCAAAATACCTACCGCGCACGCAAAAATGATGTTCTTGATAATTACCGAAAGTTGGTATTGTATCGATCATTGGACTATTGAAAACATCCATGAGATAACTAATCATGTTTTAAAATTGGCACTGAAAAATCGCTTTTTCACTCAAATAAACTTTGAAATGAAAATAAATAAACTGCTGTAGTGCGATACTTAAAAATGACGTACAATGCGAACAAAGTTCGAAATATGAAAGGTTTTTACGCCGAAAATCAGCCCGCATTTAAATACGATAAGTGCAAAAAACCCCCAAAATTCTGCATCCCTTTAATTCAAAATCTTCGACTTTGTTTACCTCTTCAATTCTGAGTATTGGAACCAATTTATTAGTGAAAATATCAAACTTACTGTGACCAGTACAATGCGTTCATTATTCCGATTATGCCTCTCGCAGAATTCTTGCAGCAGCTTTCGATTGTCTTCGAAATCCGTCGGGGGTAAATGAGTGGAATAAAAGGATTCCCAGTGTGAAGCCATTTTGCAATTTTATTAAGAATTGGGATAAACATTGAGGTTAGTCGGGTCCAAGGCCAATTTCGACATGTCTAGGAATGAGCCGATCGATTTGTTTTAACCGATATTTCCAGTTTTTAAGAAATTATTTCAATTTATAGCAAAGTTCGAATGGAAATGAATAGTAATCGTGTAATTCCTAACAGAAATTGTACTAGGATTTTATATTTCTTAAACTGTAAGAAAATTTTTTTTTAATAATTTTGTGAGTCAATCCCTACAAATCAGGCAATACATTGTTTCCAATATATGCATATAGTTACAAAGTAGCAGCAAAAGTAGCTATAATTATATTTTTTACACATCAATGTCGTAATGGAAACAAGCTCAATTAAGCGTGTAATTGGCACAGGTTTTGTAACATTGCTATGTTTCAACAAAGAAAATTTTGAATTGTAAAGAATAATAATCTCTTTCGTCAATGGTTGGATTAATAATTTGACTCTTCGCCTGCAATGAAAGTCACAAACGGTTGTCATGATTGAAGAGAAACTCAATGAAAGAAAATAAAATACTGAACTGATATTGTGTTTAAGTGGGCAATGTATTAACCTCTCTATTTCATACTAACAATATCACAACTCTACAATATCTAACTATCAACTAAATCACACTTCATTAAAGCTTTTCAATATTTTGGGGCTGGGCTTTCCAATTTGCTGTAGTCCACTCGCGGCGAATAGAACTGAAACAAAAATAGCCACATTTAAACTGTAGAAATTTACTAAAAGATGCTCTTAAGCGGAATAATTCATTGTGAGCATAAATCCAAAGATCCATTTTGTATTTGATAATAGTATATTATATACTTAGGTCGAGAAGTAAGCTATTATATACCAAGCAGTTTTATATCCTGAATCGCGTAGCGCCGAAAAATGTAATGTGCAAGCTATTTTATTTAATAGCCTTATTCTGATTTATTTTCCTGACTGCGTGTACTTGTTATGATATTCCTATCTTTCCTGGGTTTCAGTCAAAGTGTGAAGTAAAAAGCTTGACAAACTCAAGCTTTCAAGAAGGCAAAGACCTAAATGACGTAAATTTTTACCAATCATGAGTTTGTGTAAAATTTTAAATCTGATGATGGCGCTATTGTCTCGCCGAAACGTAATAAAATAAACGATGTTTCAAAATTTTTACTTCACTACTAAAGCCTAGTTCTCATAAGCGAATTTTCGGAAAAAAATTCCGAATAATCGGACGATTTGCCAGGTGTCGGAAGAAGTTGAAATAATAATGTATATCAACCTCCATAGCACTATATATTGCACAAAAGATTTAGGAATAAAACTATCTAAACAAAATTCTTTTATTTTTAATACATATTTTTTAAATTAATCTTGAACTTAAAATACTAAATTATCGCAGTTATTGGCACTTCGGGTAGTATTATTGGCTCTTGATCATACAGTTATTGGCACATAAAGTGACAAAGGTTGATTACGTTTGACAAAATTATTTATTTAAATTTGTGTTACAGGCCTTACAAACGAAGGTTTTCACATTTGGTGGCATATTGAAATGCTTCCTTGAACAAGTTAAATGGTATTTCCGGGTACAATAGAAACATTTAATGCCATTATACAAAGGAGTAATGTTGAAAGTGCAAAGAAAACACAAACCCGAAACTACTTTCTGATTATTTTCAAAATATTTTGATATATCGCAAATATCATCTTGATCAAAACGGATTTGTTTAACATGAGAAGGTTTTTATCTAGATTTTCTGTATTTGTTGGAGGAAATATTTCAAGAAAAGTGGTCTTTTCTTTCTGAATATTACGAGTGCAGTCTTTTAAAATTTGTTGTTTCCTTATTGATTCTTCTGGTTCCTTTTCTAGAGGCGAAAGTTGAGTTACAGCAACATTTTCAATTATTTGTTATGCCCTTGTCTCATCCAATTTTGTTTCGTTTTGTAATTGTCTGGTGACATATGATGCTTTTTTTACCCTATTCCTATTCGGAAATTCGGAGGGATTTTATAGGTTATGTAAATTCAACGTAGTGTTATTACACACATCATAGAGAGCTTCTCCAACGAAGACCGGAACCAGTAGCGTATTATAATTTATTCAAGAAATGCGTCTTCAAGATCGAGAAAAACATTTCAATTACATGAGGATGTCGAAAGAATTATTCGATATTTTATTATCAAAGTTATCAATTCAAGTTGGACCTCATATTACTAAAAACTGTAAAAGCCGAGATCCTAGACCTACAGGAGAAAGATTAATGTGCATTTTACGGTGTGTACACCTTTCAGTGTAGATTTTATTCAATTTTTTCAAGCTCAGCCTATGCTTGACGAATACTGGATATAATTGTTTAAGAATAAATTAAACCATATGTTAATTGAGTTAGAGCCTTATAGTATTAGAGACTATTTAAATATGTAACAACAGTACCTTTTAGCATAATATGTCCTCTGTCAATTGTTTTTAACGCCATTTCATTTTGTATTCTTTATATATGTGCATGTATCAGAATGTATTTTGAAATAAAGAAATAAATAAAAAAAAATAAAAAAATTGCGTAAATTTATGTTTTTGGCTTCGGGGGATAGTATGGTTTCCGTGTCCATGCATTTCGTATGGGCCATAGAAAAAGACGAGTTTGGCGAACGTCGAGCGAGGGAACGAAAAAGTGGGCTTTTAGGTTAAAATCGCGGTCACTGTTACCAACACGATGAGTCAAAATTATTTCTTTTTTTCAGCAAGAAATAATCGCACATGAGAACTGTTGAATTTTCACTTTTTCCGACACCTGTCAAATCGTCCGATTATTCGGAATTTTATTCCGAAAATTCGCTTATGAGAACTAGGCTTAAAGCCTAAAACACGGATAATTGCCTAAATTGGTTTAATAACATTTTGAATTCCCCATTAATTTTCTGAAATTTCGCAAAATTTGATTGCCTGACGTTCAGTTGTCAAATTGCTGCAATATAATTATCGGCCTCCAGAAAACCGATAAAAGTTCTATGAAAAGCTTCTGGAGAAAGCGAAAAATGCGTGAAATTTAAAGTTTAATATTGACGTAGGGAGAAAAATGACTTCTCACTAGGGACATGGAGTCAATAATGGTGACTTCTCAGATTAGTAGTGAAAAAAAATCTCTAGAATTCCACTCGAGTTGTGTCTGAACCTTGGGGAAACGAAAGCAATCGATTAGCTACTTTATCTTTTTCTGATAAACTTGGATTTTAGTGCAAACGGGCCCCACGACATTTCTAGCATCAACTGATTCCTTTTTGTTAACCGTGTTCTAAATGTTTTTCGATCACAGTCTTAATCGCCAAAGCGACAGCCGTGGTAGAAGATCACGTGTAACAAATACCGAATAGGTATTTAGGAACGCAATCAGATGCCAGTAAAATGTTGGCTATGCTATCATTCCTCTATAAGGTGATATTCAACTCATGTTATGTACCTTGTATTGCTTGGTCCTGAATTCTTCATTCGAAATTTCTCCAGTCCTGTTCCATTGAACATCGGGATTGCGAGTGGCCAATCTCAAACTGTAGAAGAGCGCCCCCAAACAACCTGCTCCAACACAAACGTAGAGGGGAATCAACTATAAGAGAAATAGAGCTGTTTAACCTTGTTATGACGTAATAAGGGCAAGTCGGGAAGGACCCGATAACAGTTTCATACTGCATTAACTCATAGAGGTGATAACGTTATTAAAGTATGTAAAATATGTTCGCCTAGGTAAAAGTAACTATTTTTAGATACTTATATCCAAGACAAATGTACATGTGTGATAGATATAAGGACTGAAATCTAATCCATTTTTGGTCAGTGACTACTTACAGCTTTGTGTTTCTTCAGAGATTGCAAAGATGTCCCTTGAAGCTCAGGCATTTTTGCTAGTTCTTATGTAAATATTCTTTTGCAAATGAAGCACTGTTTCGTAATCGTAACAACAGTTCGACAGATTTATTAACAGTCAGCCAACTGAAAATCAATTTTGACGTACTTCAAATGCAGGACTGCCATGTGACTAGAGATGAGAAAGTAATCGATATGTCGACGCACACGGTGTTTCTTAAATATTCTGAAAAACTTTTAAAAGTAAATCAAAAAATCAATTAAGACACGAACATTAAATTAAGTTAATTAAAACTCATTAAAACACAAGAAGTTTAATAATCCACGAATAAACAAGAAGTTTAATAATCCACTACTGAGCTGATTTTTTAAAAACTATCACACAAATATCTGTGAATTGGTGAGTGAGTGAGTCATCACTCCTCACAGCATATCGGGAGCGATCGGGTGTAAAACGATAATTAGTGGGTGTAATACACAGCAGAAAAATACTAATCATTGAAGGTGTGTTTGCAGCAGAACACCCCTATGTTACATAATAAAGCTGTACTGTAGAAAACCTGACCATTTAAAGTTGAAAAACTGAATCATTCGATAATAAAAAGTGATGTAGATTTTCCCCTTAATAACACTTTTTTCTTAGCGACAATTCTTCCAAAAATGTCCTTTTCAACGAGCTTTCGACGTTTGAAAGTTCACCATTCTCCCATGCTTGGGTGGAAACAGTTTCGTCTTTTAGACGTCTTTATAACTCTTCATTTAGACGTCATAAAGGTGTGACTTACTTACGTCAGTTGGACGTCTAACTTATTGGTCCATGAACCAATATAAGACCAAAAAAGTCGTCATTTGGACGTCATCTAGACCAAAATACTACCTGGGAATATGTATCTGAATTGAATACGACGGAATAAATGATTCGAGTTTAACTCGCTACTATTTTATGCTACGGAAAAATAGACAAATATTAGCAAAATATTTTAAATTTGAAATTACAGTCTGCGTATATGATTATTTTGATCGACAAAAATCGACATAGAGTCATCATATTTAAAACACTAGTTAGGTAGTTATCTATTATTAATGCAGTTAGACAACGCAAATGCTTCAAAGTTTTGTCATATAAATGAGTTGATAATAAGAGACCAGAATTAAACGTAAAACTGAGTAATAACTGGATACTGTCCTCAAGAGCGCTTCTCAACTTGACATCTTCATTGAAAGCACGGGGCATTATTTATCAGCACTCGGATATAGATACATAAATACACCCATATATACCTACAAAAGAGCACATTTATGGAAAAAATCCGTTTACTTATTGGTTTTTCCTCGCAAGATGGAGAAGGATAAATTTAAAATTCTAAGTCTGCACATCAACGTGTTAATATTTTTGCAATTTTGGCCCAATCCGTTATTCAATAACGTTGTTAATAACCATATAATGTCTATAGTGTGTTTTATCACAGTTACCTCTTGCATTCCGTGCATTTGGACCATATACAAGGTAATTTACATTTTTACCAACATTATATGTTATTCAATTTGTATCTGGTTTCGTTCTCAGGTGTTTGAGGGCATGTATGATATCGGTATCTTGTTCGAATCCTTCATTTGCTTCGTCAACATTATGGCTTACTTGACCGCCTATTGGACTATTTTCAGAAACAAGGCGGTAATAGAGAACCTTATCAACGATATATGTATTTTTCTACCATATTGTCCAACTAATTTAATACGAGATACTGATGCATCTTCTATACGCTACACAAAATGTATGTACTTTTGCCTTAATTTCACTCATTTGCCCAAAAGTAAGTGAGGACCTTCTCTACTTCTGCGTTTGCGATTGCAGCAAAAGTAAAATTTAATTTGCGTCCAATGTGAAGAATTTTCAATTAAGCATTATACAATTTAATTTCACATGAAACTATTCAGCTAATTCTTGTAGATTTGATCGTTTATGTTACACTGGGAGTATTTGTCAATTTAGCCTGGCCTGCAATCAGTCCGGAAGGATGTATGCGACAAAGACGTAAGTTAAGAAACATGTAGAAAATTGCCCTCAATTGCGGTGCTGAGAGGAATTGACATCAATCAGCCCTCTTAAATAAAGTGAAGAGAATTTGGAAAATAATCACATGGTGGCAGGACTTCTCAGGACGAATCAAATAATAACCCGTTTCTTGGGCATAACTTTTGAACCATTGATGCTATTGAAAAAAAGTTTAAAAATACTTCTTTCAAGTATCAAAAATACCTACAATATAAGCCAATTAAAACAAATTAAAATCCGTTCATTTGTTTACTCAAAAAACGAAGAAATCGCCGATTTTTGCGTTTTTAATTTTTTTATACTTAATTTAGTTTCGCGTCAAAAAAATCGTACTATAACTGGTTTTGAAGGTCTTTGTACACTTTATAAGTGGTATAAATTTTAACTTAAAATATTAGTAACTTTTTATTAACTGCTATTTGTTATTAAAAAAAGGCTCTTGCCGGATTCTAAATAAATATTTTTTGAGATATCGGAGCGACTTCTCTGAGAGTCTATTTTACTCGTAAAGAGTTATACTACAACTTACAATAAAGAAAAAGTTAAGTAATAAAGGGTAAACTGTTTAAACATTAAGTTGAAAATCAGGAATTTTGCTCGTACGTCGTTGGGGGTTTTCATAAATAAGTCGTTGAGAAACAATTAAAGCCGCCAAATTTCAATTGCGGGACTGCTTGGAGCGCGGCTCACACAAATTCCTGATTTTCAAGTTAACGTTTAAACAATTTACCATTCAGTAATCAAATTTTCCTTAATTGCAAGATGTACTATAACTCTTTACGAGTAAAATACAGCATCAGCGAAGTATGTCCGACGTCTCAAGAAAAACTGATTTAGAATCTGGCAAGGGCCCTTTTTAGATAACAAAAAGTTATGAATATTTTAAGCTAAAATTTGTATCACTTATAAAGTATACAAAGACCTTCAAAAAAGTTATAGCGAGATTTTTAAAATTAATTAAAGAAAAAAAAACACAAACATCTGTGAGTTGTTTTTTGAGTAAACAAATGATCAAATTTTTTTAAAAGCATCAACGGTTCTAAACGCCAGCGTTAAAAACGGTTTTTTACACTTCCTTTAATCATTTAAACAAGGTTTCACAGTCGGAAATCGCGCTCAAACTATTGTCCCAATATTCTGACATTCTTCCAAACAACCTCGAATAAGCTGTTACCTTCATCTATTTATTGCCCGGAAAAAATCTAATCCGACTGTACTAAAATAACAAATCCGTGTAGGGTTGGTTCACAATCTAATTTATTTATCAACTGATATCATATTAGATGTTTAATTAAAAACTAAAACACCAAAAACCGTAAAATGTGCTGAAAAGCTAGTCAAAATTTATGCATAGGCAGAAAATAAAAAATTCAATCAAACAAGAAAATAAATTTAGAAAATAAAAAGATGCGACACTGGCTCTAGCCGAGTTAAAAATGATTCGGGTCGTGAGGCAAAAAAATCGACCAATGGAAATTTGAGATATGGGCAATCAAATGCACCTATCAATTTCGGTGGCAGGCCAAAGAAGTTTGAAACTTTTGTCTATAACGGTCAGTAGATATTTTGCGATTTATTTCAATACACGATGCAGTAAAATCCTCCAATTTTACGTCGAATAGACTTTGCATCTGCTCTACCAAAAAATTAATTTGTAGCAAAAACGTTATTCGTAAATACAATAGTGATTTAAACACTGGCTGCAACCTAATTAGAATCAAGTTTAAAAAATCTAAAATCTCATTGAAATTAAATAAAAAATCCTAAATACTTTAAGTGTTTTTAATGCAAAAACTAGTAAGAATTGATTGATTGTTCAATTTTAGAGAGCGAGTACCTCTTAAAACATGACCCTTGTGGAATGCCAACACACAATTATTATCCTTTCGATGCCAGTAAACCGATTCCGTTCTGGATAGCTTTTGCCTGCGAAGCATTATTAACTTGCAATATATGTATTCTGTTTTCAATGGTTACAGCCATTATTCTAGGTAGTTATTTAAACTTAAGCCTGCTTACGCACTGTGGTTTCAACGGGTAGTTCTCTATTTCAATCTAGAAGGTTTCAAAACAAATTCTTTAGGTCTTTTAATGCAAATAACTGAGCAAATAAAACATTGTTGCGACAAGTTTGAACACATCAATTTCAAAGGAGATGTTGAAACCGCAAGGAAAGAATTTCTAGAGTGTGTTAGATACCACAGAGCCATTCTCGAGTAAGTGAAGAAATGCATTAAACTGTATTTTTTCTACATTTAACGTGTTTTTTTGTTTAGATATGCCGAAAGAGTTTTTACAGTGTTCGCTCCCGTGATGTCGGCATACTTAGTGGTAACTTCGTTCGCTACAGCTCTTATCGGTTACCAGATTGTAGAAACCGACAATACTCAAGACAGATTTAGATATGCAATGCTGTTGCTAGCTTGGGGATGTCTGTTTTTCATGATTTGCTTGTACGCCCAGATTTTACAAGACGAGGTATGCTCGATAAAGTTGGCCTTAAAGTGGAACAATCTTTTTGGGAAATGTATTTTGGGAAACAGTATACCTACCTTTCTCATATATTTATCAACTCAATTTTGAAACGTTTTACCTACGACAGTTAAAACATAACAAATGTTTGAGACAACACAAGTAAACATTTACTGAACAATTATACATATACTTCCGCATTTAACGCATTAGATAGATTTACTCTTCATAAATTTTGTGTTAAATTTTGTTATTGTCAATGATTAATTTAATTTATATTTTTATCTGAATATATTTTTTTAACTCTAACCGATAAAATTTTGTATTTTAGTCTGTGTTGATAGCTGATGCACTTTACAATAGCGACTGGACGTGCAACTCAATTTATTTTAGACACTATATAATCAGGGTAATTGCCAGGGCGCACAAACCCCTGTATTTTAACATTTCGTTTTTGGGAAAAATCTCCTTAACTCGTTTTGTGTCCGTAAGTAATTTTAATAAGCATGCCGTGATCATTATGAACTTGCTTTAAAGTACTTTAAACGTATGCCTTTATATGCACTTGATTTTGTTAAATTGTATTTACATGTACAGCTGTGTGTATACCTTTAGTAAAAAGGCATATTTGATTTGCATATTATTTAGGAAAAAATAGTCTGGTAATGTTTTCTTCCAAATTAATTATTTTTGTTTTTGTCATTGCATTTGAATGAAAAAAAGCTGTTTCTAATTGATCTTCTCCTGTGTCATTTTTAATTTAAAAATATAAATATATTATTCAAGAATATAATTTTTTTTTCAGCAACAGCTACTGAATTAGCAAGAAGTTTCGTCTGTATTACAGATCAGTACATAATAGATACCAATAAAAGTTTTTTTTTGTGAATTTTAACAGTTCATGTTTTTGTAGACTAAGATTTTTGTAACAGAATTAATTGCCTCTTAGCGTTTACAAAAGTAAACTTTGACTTCCTTTAAGTCAAATAACATCCTTAAACTTTAGCACATTAAAGAAGACTGTATTGACATTTAATTTTCATTTTGCTTGTAGTTTACTATAAATTGCATGTTATGTACTTTATTAATGTAAAAATTTAATTAAATGTGTGAAAAAATAATGTCAATGTGCAAATCTAAAAATATTTTTTTTAGGTCATGAAAACTGCATACACGGTTTTTACAGTTCTAGTCACAGTTGTAGACCGAAAGTAGGTAACTATAATACCACCGATAAACAAATAAATGCACCAAATACAAATCAATCTTGATACGTTTTATGCACCTTCAATAGAACCAATTTTCAATAATTATGAACACACACTTTTACTGACCTGTAAAAAATGTGAAGATTGCGTATATGTAAGCTTCTCCAAAATATAACAAAATATAATAAATATATTTGAATAGCGGAACAATTAACAACTTCTTTTATTCTCTAAAAATTGCCGTTATTTCGACCTTTACTCGCACCTTTCTCATGGCTGGAGAAACTGATGACATACAAATAAAATATTAGATCGTTTTGTAATCACTTGCAGCAAAAGTTTCGAGAGAACGACGCGAATAAAAGGTCGAAACATCAGCCATTTAGAAAATAAAAGGAGTTTTTAATCCAGTTCCAAGTCCGATATCCAAATATAATTAATTTAAAAATATTTAATTAGAAGCATTGCAAACATGCTGTAGTACAAGTTTGTAGTTGTTGCACAGCACTTTTTCCACAGGCCAGTTTGCCAACATTAATAAGAATAAAAATGTAGCTAAAACGATAGTAAGTAAGTGAATAAAGGAAACATGTTCAGTAGATAGAGCACACTTGGCTGAAATAAATCTAACCAATCAAACAATATAGTTTCATTTAGAATCTATTTCCCCTACCTGTTTCAATGCAACAATGCATACATTTTCTAACGTAATATCTTTGTCGACATAATAATGTAGTGAACATTTGAAATTGTTGGCTTCCAAATACCTTAACCGTCCCCAATTAAGAACGTTCTTGCATCTTTGCCCTATGATTTCTCTTTCATCCCTGCTCAGACCATTTCTGAAAATTAATTATCGTCAAATAACCAACATCGTACATTTTGACCTACGTTTCCATATCTATATTGTCCTGGTAGTTTTCATGTTTGTGCTTTTCCCTAAATTCCCTGCTGTAACCCGATCCACATGTAGCCCAGCTTGATAGTCCACATATAATATTAAAGTCGTCTATGCTTAAATCGTTTTCCTGTAATTTTAACTAGTTTTACTCAAACTGCGCCCAAGCGGACTTGAATGAATACCTGAAGAAACGTCTTTCCAGTGTAAGAAGTCCAAAGACAACGGTGGTGACAACAAAAAGTTAGCACTGCAGCATCGATTTTATCTTTGTTCACTTCAGGGTTAGTCAAGCACCTAATAGTTAAGTCTAAAATTCAGTTGACTATACAGACAATAAATACGGGTATTTACAATTAGTTATCTCACCTGTGGCAGCGCCACATAAATGTTTGGTAACTCCCACGACATGTTGGCTTTTCTCAATAAAATTTAATTTATCCAGAACTAAATCGGCTATATCCGCTCTAATTCTCTGAATTCGGTCTGAAGTTTTTGCAAGTTTATTATCTCTTTTATGCTTCGGAGAGGCTCTTTCTACTAACAATAATTGGCATTTTTCTAGCGACTCAGTTGCCTCAGCAATCCAGCAGCTTAACTGGCCTGAAAAGTTCTTGAATTTCCCAAAATATTCGTTCACATTCTAGCAAAATATACCTCTCCCAGCTCCAAACTCTATGTAGCAAGTTTTGTCCCTAAACAAGCCATTTTCTTTCATTAAACCTAGAATTGAAGACGCTTGTTTGAAATGCTTTTTTGCTTTATCTCCATATTCTGGTTTGGCCATTTCAGCTTCCACTAAAGGAAATGACATCTTTTTGTCGGAAATTTTTAAATATTCTGAAAATTCAGGAACAATTTATCAATTTCACTTGATCTATTGGATGATACACTTACTTTCATAGATGTTATTAACTTTTTCTATGACAGCAGTTATTTGGTCTTTTGGAAACGTACAAAGCATTCGAAAAGAATCACTTGAAGCAAGTGCAGCTGGTACTTCCGATTTTCCAGCATTAATGTCCTTTTGGATAAACGGTTCGGGATCAGTTTGGCGTGCGTTGCATATTTTCAAGTGTTTACTTAATTTGTGGGCATAAACAGTACTGAAAGTAGACATCGGTGATTAACTAAAGTGGAACTGTTCTTTACCTTGAAGCAGATTATTATTTGGATAGAACGTGCGACTTACTGTTTTCGATCTAAGGGACAAGTTATTCGTATAGCGGTCTCATTGTCACCGCTTTCTAAGGGTTTCTGATGCTCTCCACAAAATTCTTGACCTAATTTCACCAGCATTTTGCAATATCGCTTTTTACGATGCACGAAAAACTTGCAATGTTCTGATGCGGCATTCGACATTTTTAGGCCTTCTTTTATTACAGACTAATTTTATAGCTTAAATTGTTAGTGCCTAATTAACAACATTATTTTTATATGCATTCAAATTCATTGTTTACAACAAATATCAGCTGATATATGTGGCTGACAGGCTGACACCTCACCTGACATGAGCCCTCATTTCCCCAATGTTGCCGTTTACGCTTTAACCCACACTACGCCAGAGTAATTTAAAAGCGAGAGCGATAACAATATAAATAAAATGGGGACAGAATATAATAAAGTCTATATTACTTCAGTAGTCTGCTTTAACACCTTTTGCATCTTAGTTTTGGGTTGTGAAATTCTTAAAATTTAACTTATCTTTGAAATGTAATGGCAATACATTCCTAGGTTAACTAAAAAATTATATTAACCGGCAACGTTCGACGGAGAACGCATCTCTGTCTTTGTTTAATTTCATATTTACGTATACCCCACAGATTAAAGAGTACCTCTGTGATCTGTGCGTAACCCAACCACCTGTGTGACGGTTGTTGTCAAAGTTGATCAGAATATGAAATAAAACCAAACGGTTTTTCCTGATGATTTTATGAGAAGTTCTGTATGTTTCTTTCTGGAATTAACATTGTCGATTTATCAGGTTACTGTTTTGATATTTGAAGGAGAGTATTGTTTTTATCAATATATCAACAGTATCGGAATGTATCAAATCCGAGTTTTGTCAGCTCGATATTTTAAATCAAGAACACAAGTCCAGCATTTTTATTAGTTAGCAAATGTCCAGTGAAACTACAGTAGTGCTAATTTATTGCCCATGAAATGGCTGCCGAAATGGGAAGTGAAATAAAGAATGATCACGTTAAAGCATTTGAATCCCTATCGATTATCAGCCATAATTGCAGTTCTGGCCCTTCATTGCGAGGTTAGTTTAGTTTCTATTAATCCCTTAATCTCTTAGATCCCTAATCTGGATTTCTGACCAGTTATTGTATCAACAATGTGACCATTTATTTAACTTATGCATTTTCTTCAGCATCCCAAGTGATTAGAATCTGTTTGCAATCTGCTAGGTTTTGAAATGTTGTTTTAGGAACTCAAAAGCTGAAAATCACAGAATGTATGAATGAACTTGAGAAGATTGTTTATTTGGTCGATGCACACGTGCCTAAATTGCGGGAAAGAACAGCATTCTCGTACCACCTGCAAGCGGAACAAGAAGAATGCAAGGAAGCAGCTGACGAATTTCGCCAGTTTAAAAAGTTGATTTTTCCCCCTTGCAATCAAACTTTAGAAGATGGTTTTAACCTAATTATGCAACAAATTGCCGAGCTACCTAAAGGTAATTCGAATTATATACAGGGTGCGCCAACGCGAACATCGATCAGAAAAGGCATTTTAGCTACAGAACTAATTACTCAGGCAGAGCGAAAAGTCTGCCCAACACAGTAATTGGACCATCAACAGATTTATAAGTTTAGCCCTTAAATATACAGGGTACTTCACCGGGATCTACAGGGTGGTTCTCAACTAAAGTGAGAAAATTCATACATATAGACATATTTAGACAAAAATATTGCGTGTCAGAGAAATTTGTCTTATCTGAAAGTTACCTAATAGTTGTCGGTCTCGGTTACAGGGTGTTAAAGTGTAAATAAAATTTTCGTTTTTTATATTCACCAGTTTTACGATTACCGAAAAAAAATTGTGTGGGGGTTTTTTAGATCCACTAATTCAAGTTTCCTAATGCGTAGTTTGTAGTTGCTAGAGGCCGTCAGCTGCAATGTTCTGGACCGATTTAAAACATAAGAACTTTTTCGGGTTTTAAAAAATTGCTTTTTCATTCGCAACTTTTCGTTCTCCAATCTTATACAGGGTGCTTCTCAAACGAAAAATGTGTAGTTTCAAGTCGATACCTCTTACCGTTTTCAAGATATTTCACATTGAAACCTGTAGTAATTTTTTGAACTAGGTAACTCAATTCGGATCTCTAAATAAAAGAAATATTCTGCCCGAATTTTCAATAAAACAGAACTTTAGCAAACATTAAACAGTATTTATTTAGGCACATTAAGAAATATTTTAAACTACTTATAGACAATAGAAATAGTCTTGCGAAGAGTCTCCTGGCTTTTCATTTGTGTTGCCTGCCAAGTCGTTCAAACATTAGAACTTCAATAATAAAATTTGAGATTACCTTTTGAGGCCCGATATCTTAGTTAGGGGGAGCTAAGAAACTTTTTTATGAACATACCACGTGTGAACTTGTGATGAACAAACAATATTTTTTGACCCCCATGTAAGTATGCTCTCGAGAGTTTGTCACAACGTAAGGCACATACTGTATAGATCGCGGTGGTTCCCGATCGGACACCCTGTAATTAAGATATTTAACACTCTTCAGAACATAGTGGGTGAACTCTCCACTTTAGACTAGTACAAGTTTGCGGAAAAAGAGAAACTTTAAAATCAATCGTAGTTTTTACCCATCCAGATTACGCACTTCAGTAATAAACATTTCGTTATATTTTGATTATGTTTAGATCCAAAAATGGGAAAAATATTTAATACCTCGTTTAACTGTTAAGATGGACCTGTTGATGAAATATGTTTAACTGTTAGGTAAGGTAAAGTGGGAAAAATGCACTTCCATTTTCGAAGAGTATAAATATGTTAATAACAGTATAATTAACAGCCAGTAGTGTCAGAATATCGCAAAATTTTGAACGGCAATGATATTTAACGACTTATCAGAAGAACCATATTTTAAAACGGTTCATTTGCAACTTTTCTTTATTTTGAACCCTTGTGCATTCATTATTTACAGTAAATTACAACAGCTTTGCACAATTGCATTTATGCTCTTTCAGAATGGACAATAGTTCAGTTAACTTCTCAGTATTCCCCAGAAGAGCATATTAACTTCAACCGTAAAAGATACTATTCGACCGGTTTGCACATTTCGGTGTTCAATTGTGGAACGGATAAAGCAGTTCCGTTTGTGGTCACTGTACCTCCTCCCACAGTAAACGGAGTCAAATTAGAGTTAATGCAGGCGCACATGGATGGTTTGGCTAATTACCAGTCCGAATTGAACTCAAGAGTGAACCAAAAAGCTTTTAGAAATTATCGAGATAGATTAATTTATGTTCAGAAATATGAAGAAATAGAGATGTGTCTTAAGGTACCTGCTTGTATCACTTGTATTGGGCTACTTGTACATCTGTAATATTTTGCCTGTGTCTTCTTATTTCAATATCATCTGGCTTTTCAAATTATTTTATTATTTTTAGTCTTGTCTATCTACTAACTATTTAAAAACAAAAAACATTTTTTTCTGATACATAAATATGATATGTTTCGTCAAATTAAAAGCTATTTTGCAACTAAAAGGATAATTTTAAATTATTCTCGACCTATTGTTTTAACAGTACAATTTTATATTTGTTTCCCAAGAAAAAAATTATCTGATGAGGTGGACTTTGGACTTGATCACTATGTGAACAGACGGGAACAACAGAAACACTTTCAAATCATCGGATAAACTAATGCATGGGACACGGGCTTAAGCCGTAGCGAGTAAAAGAAATCGATTTTAGAAACATACTACAACAGTTTCAAACAAAAGGAAATGTGAATGATAAAAAGCAAGAACACCAAAAACGTGTTACGGGCGAAACAAGTGCAGCCTTATGGCTAGTTTGCTCGCAAATCCTCATACAAGTTGCAGAGTTTTTGGCAAAAACTTGTGTTTTGTTTACCAACGTAAACCAATTCTCCAAAGACGGAAGACTAAATTGTCACAATTTTTATTTTTACGGCAATGAACGTCCAGCACAAAAGTAAGCGTAAGCATTAGTCATCCTTTAACTTTTATTCAAAATTCACTGTGTAAATTACAGCTTAGTTCCAGAAGCGGATTGTCCTCGTTTTCTTCTAAAATAAACTCAATGTCCACTAATTCTCGAATAAAATTCAGCATGAGATAAGTTTGTATTCATGACACAATCTAGAATCTGCAAGCATTCAACTGCTCAACAAAATAAACGTTACTGACAAATTTGAATTAACTTTAAAACTGAATAAATTCTGACTGCATAGAACAAATTGATTTCTGTTTGAAGCATTATTAAGTGCAAGTCTTTTTCGGTTATATTTCGTTTAAATTCTTGGTAGTGGCTCGAGTACATGTTGGGTAAATAAGACGTCGGTTAAGGTCCACTATAATTTATTTTCAAACTACGCGTTTCGGTTATTTTATATTATAAGCATCATCAGGTGTCAAAGACCTAAAACTACGTCACTGGATTTGTAGGTACAAACATAATATAATAAAATAAAAAATGCGTACAAGTAGCCCATTTATAGAGAATCCCATGTAGAATAGAATAAATTGTCAAATTTTAGGAGACCATCCAAAATATAACATGCCATTGGTTGCGCGAATGGCGATGCCTGCTTTCTGGGAAGTTTGAAGAGAAAAGAATTGATAATTTTATCAGAGATGAATTGGAAGAAATAATAAAAAATGTGTAAGGAATTGCTTATAAATTACATTACGTGTCAAAAGACATTATCCGGTTTGCAAATTCATGATTAAAGCTCGATCCATATTTACCAGCACGTGGCGTGCCCAACACGTAACCGGATATACATGAAAAATACAAGTGTATTCATATCATACAACTAGTTAGTTAGAAGACGTTCTTGAGAGTCAATCGTGCCCAAAAAGTGTAAATAAAACTGAGGAAACGGGGGCATCCTGCCCATCGCATACATACAAAACGAAAAATGAAAAATAGTTCTACACTTTATACAAAATGAGCTTATAATGTACCTTACAAATTGATCTCTTGAACTGATCTGTTGCGGTTATAGGCGCACCACCTGAACCATGCTGCGCCTGCGACTGCGTCAAACGCAGCACCGAGTCGCAATCGTCGATCGCACCACCGAAACCGTACCTTAGAGCCATTTCACCCGGGCACTCTACAGCGCTTCTCAATGGCGCTGCTGAGAAGCGCGTTTTGAAGGTGCATTGATTTACATGGAGCTATTCATACGGGTGCATAACTAACGTCGAGAAGCGCCACTGATAGCGATACATTGGTTCAAATGCTGGCGTTCACACGAGCCACTTCAGTATGCTTCACGTTAACGTTAAGCGCTGCAGAGTGGATGGTACAATGTTAACGTGCGCTTATCAGCAGCGCCACTGAGAAGCGCTGCAGAGTGGTCCGTGTGAAATGGCTCTTAAGTTCGCTAAGGATGAATTCGTTGGAAGCAAATGCGCAGAATATTTCTTTGTCTGTCTGGTTACGTGTTGAGCACGCCAAGTGCTGGCAAATATGAATCGCGCTTAGGCGTACATTATTCTATTAATTTGAAGATTACCTGAGCAAACCGTCTCAAACAGAGCGAAAGACTTGCTTTACTATGTTGCCAAAGGAGCATTGCATTTGAGCGATAAAGAAATTATCTCTTCAATGGCGCAGATCTTTGGAGAGGAAGCCCCTTTGAAGGTCCTAGTTCGTTTAATAAAAAAACTGAATGTTGAATTATTCTCCCAATTTACCAATTTCGCAAAGCACCCACTAATTTTGGTGATTGATGAGGTAAAATCCATTTGAGGCCAATTCCAAGACATTTATATGCGCCTTATTTTTAAGAACTTGGACAATTTACATTGGGAAATGATGCACGTGCTGAGAGAAGAGTCTGTGACCAGAGTACCGTCTTTGCATTTTGCATATATTCTTTTCAAAATGCATGAGAAAGACATGGAAAACGGATATAAGGTTTTTTATTTTGTTGATTTACTAGAGGAAACGTGAAGTCGTTCACATTTGTTTTCAGATAATATCGAATTATAAAAACGGACAATATATAGTAAATCCGGAATCAAATTTGCAAAAAATGGAGATTCGTATGATGGGATTCTATAAATATTGGCTTGAAGACTGGAAGGGAATTAACAATCGTCAGCCGACTAGTAAAGAATTTTGTGCGATGCTAGAAGATTCGGACATCTTTAGGCAAGTCCTATTAATAACCAAAATAACAAGAAAATTATTTTTTGGGGTTGCAGTTACAGTGGGCACGGAAACGGCACACATATTGTGTCTCTGAATGATCTGAGACCCCTTCACATTAAAGCCGTGGTATTAATGTTTGGATGCGCCAGCACCCGCATACAACGCCAAGGACCGCAATCCGATACTTTAAGCTCTTATCATGTCTACTTGACATCACGATGGTAATTTTTGAAAAACATTCGATGCATGAATAGAGATTTATGTAAAAATGTTTCTTAATTTCAGCCCCTGTCTTCTCGGCATGCTTTGGCCGGTGCATGACTTACCGACTGATCAAATAACAACTTGTTTATTGAGTAGTTGGCTGCCATCCACAGCCCCAATCCCATGGGAAAACGTCAATAAAACATTGTGGCTCAAAGCGCAGCAAACCGGTTAGTTGAAATCAAATTATACTTCTCAATTTTCAAGGGTTTCCCGAAATTAAGGTCCAAAAAAACCAAACAGGTTGTCAGATCAAGAAAACTGGTACACATGAGAGGTGTGTATGGCACTTTAACGCGGATTTTAGAAAAAAAGGCGTCTTTTACGGTTATTTATCGAAATTCTACAAACCGGACAGGTATTATGGAAGTTACTAATTACTCGGCAACTGTCGCCTTTTTGAAAACGCTGATCTTTTGTAAAATGTATGACCTAAACCGTCGATTCTCGACAGCCGGCAGGGTTTTTTACCATTTGTACCGGCAGAAAACAGTTATTTTTCTGAAACCCACTTGGGTTCTAACGTTCCAATTTCGCTTTGGTATTAGGTTCCAAAAGTAACATGTTACTTTTTAAATTTTTCATTAAAAATTCGCAATGACGATAGTAGAAATAGTGATGATAAGTAATGATTTAGTTTATTTTAAAAAATCTTAGGATTGGTAAACTAAAACAAATATATTCTAAAAACAAAAACAAAACATGGGTCATAAGTAACTACTTAAAGAAAAAAACTGATAATAAAATCGAATGCTTTAAATAAAATATTTTTTCTTTATTTCTGTTGTGCTTAAAATAATCTTTGTAATTTTAATAAGCAAGCAATAGTATAAGAAGATTAAATCATTCACGATCTAACATCTTCAGAAAAAAACTTGGCGGATAGTATTTTTGACAATTACTTTCGAATGGAGATAGAACACAATCTAGCGAAGTACATGAAACGATCAAACTATTGAATCGATGGGTGTAATGCCCAGAAGCCGATCGGCACTAAAGAAAAATTATCCGTTCTCTTCAGGTACTAAAATTGTAGAATTAACATGTATTTTATATTTTTTTATTTTATTTTTGTTAATTTCGCATTATATTTCGCGTAATTACGCTGTTTCGTTTATTTCCACTGGCCACAAAAACGCTGTACACGCGTTCAACTTCTTTCTCTTTCGTTCTTACTGTTTTTCCTGCTATTTTCAATTGCAATTGCGCAAAAGGGAAAATAAGTCAGAATTTTAAAGGAAAACTTCAAGCTACAGTCGTTCGATTCTGCTAAACAGATAATTTTTTACTCGATCGATTTTAAATCACCAGGTTGAATGAATACATATAGCTGGTGTTAAAACTGTTGAGACTTGTTAAATTTCTATGGAATGCAAATATTTTAATGTTTGTAGGTGAATTCACCAGCACAATCGTTTCCATGAATCATGAATCTGATGTGGTGCTTTCGAGAGCTCTGGCTAATACAAAGCATAAGTTATTCAATTATGTATGCTTAGCCGCTTGTGTTGTCCGCGGTCTGCCCGTCAAAATAAAATTGATTGATAATTGATTGAATTGATAGTCTTGGTTTGCAAATATAACTGTTACTTTTTAAGTTTTTTTTAGTTAAGTTTAAGTTACAATTTGAAAGTTGTGTTTTGTCAAGTGTATATAAGAATGTGATTCATTTGCGAAACATTCGCCCTTTAAATGTTACAAAACATGATTTCTGAGCAGCTCTATAAGTTAATCAAGTACATGTTTTGTAACACTATTACTACACAAAATGCAGTATTTTATACAGATCTCAGTTTTTTTATTAAAGAAAAACCTGATTTAAAACAAAGTGTTCAACTACATATAAAGCTCAATTAATTGGTCACTTACAGCAGATGTCGTTAAAATACCTAAATCTGAAAAAAGTAATGTAATGTATAATGGCGGGGTGTAATCAACTAATGGATGTACGGTCTTAAGATCTGTTGATGATTTCCTTACTTCCGAAGTGTACTAAAACAAACGGATAATATTGAAAACACTAACGTATCCGAAACACATAAACTAATCATGGTTTGCAATTTTTGTTGTATACAAGTATGCATTTCCTCTGGAAATGCGTTATAGTTCCACCTACCTTATATTCTAGAGGTAGATCCTGTTGATTCAAAGGGAATACCCGGGAGAACTTAAAGCTTTCAGCCAACACGTAGAATGACTTTTTTAATTCCCGTGCACAAACAGCCATTGTGTAACTTCCAAGCTAAAACCACATACACCGCTCTATTATCTTTACTCTGCGTTGAGTTATTACTGGTTTATGATAAGTTGCTTAAACGCAAATCTAAACATGTTTTACCTTATTTACAATGCCACCACTTTCTAAAACACCCTCGGCTCCTATCATTATGAAATCTATTTGTTCCATCACATACCCAATTGCAGAATCCAGAATTAAAGTACTCCGAATTCCATAGGCACGCAATTCGTTGTGCATTTGTATACTAGAACAACATTAAATATTGGTTTGGTTAGTTAGTTTTTATCGTTAAAAATCAAGTATTATTTGAGCTTCATCACAGGCGGTAGCCAAATAAATGGATAAAGATCTGCACAAAAAGCTCATGCGGATCATTGCAATATTGAGCAGCCGAATGAGAGTACTAATTAATTCACTTTGCTCAAAGAGCAAAGGAAAGAATGATTATGAGTATGATTTGCCAATAGAAATTTAAAATTCTACAGTAAATTATGTGATTTAGATGCGGAATAACAAATCAAACTAAGTACTCACCCGCTGTTATCTGGACCAGACTGTGTGACAAAAACCTCAAACTTTTTGCCCAACTTAAAAGCATGGCAGAATGTTTGCAAAACAACCCTAGACCTTGAATGAGTTAGAATTTTCTAAAAAAGTTTTTTTGCTAAATAAACAACAAACTAAACCAGATTTTGCTGCTTACCGATCCATCTGCAATAAATTTGGATGCAAACTTAACAATTTTGCCTCTTGCCTCACCCAGCTTATTTAAAAACAGATTTCCTCTATGTAACATGATTTGTTTACATTCTTGGAAACTCTACAAGGTGGCAATTCAGTAGAATAGATATTGAAAAACACATAGTTCCATACTTACGCCGCCATCCAAACCAACTAATGTGATAAATCTTAAAAAAAGCTCACATGCTGATGTTATAACAGCAACTGGTAGGTCGGAATTTTTCATAACATGAATGGCACTCTTAAGATTCGTTTCCAGTTCTTGAACAGTCTCGGCTAAAAATCATCAAATTATTGACTAGTGCGAACAGTTTTATATACTTGTTTAACAATTTACTGAAACAATAATCTTTTTATGTATTTTTTGGATAATGATATAACTTGCTATAGAAACCTCAAGGTGACTTGTCTAAGTTATTTTTTTACTAATTGGAATATTCTCTGATAGCTTGAGATTCGAGTGTCGGATGGAAACTGTTTAGGTGATCGTTCTTAATTACCTTTTGATAAAATCGTTCTGTATTGTCAAATAAGAACACCCTTTATCAATGCGTAAAGAAAACGAGGAAATCCTGCATTTTTTACCCTCAATTTTTTTTTTATAATCTTTGCCATAACAAGTACTATAAACTAATGCTCTATGATAATGATCTTATTGAAGTAAAATTTAGTTAGACTTCTAGTAATTAACAGTCGTTTAGATAATGTGAAAGCAACAAGGCTGTTTCCATTTTATATTATTTCTAAAAAGTATGTTCAAATGTACATCTGCCAAGTGACTAAAATCTGGAAACTTCGATGTCACCGAGGTAGCTCTTTCAACGTCAAACTGATAAAGTATTATTGTACGGTCCCTTTAAACTTATTAACGAGTAGATTTTGTTCGAAACCAAAGTATATCTTAAGTAAATTATTAGTGTTTAAGAAACTTTGATAAGCAGGATTTTCGTTAGGTGTACGTACGCTAGTACATTTTATAATCTACCAATTGTACTCTCAAATGTTGAAAAACAATGAATTTATGGCTAAATCGGCTTTAAGTAACGTACATTTAGTCTGTGCGATCACTTCCATAAGTGTCCGAATTGCAGCAACTCCAGCTGAAACATCTTTTTCCGTTTGGACAATTTCTCGAAAATACTTCTGAACTTCTACAATAAAAAATAGTTAATATGGTACAGAACCGAATTACATGACTGGTTTTTTACTCTCGTCATTCATTTCAGCAACTTTTTAAAATTTGTTCATCAACTAAAAGCATCAATTTGAACCACAAATAAAAATTTGATCACAAATACAAAACCTTGACGCCACGTTGTTATGATAGGTTATTATATTATGGTTGTGGCGAGCTCTATCCGCCACTTCTCAACTAGCAACTTCAACCGAAACGCCAGCTATATATCACCGCATAACATCTGTGGCGTTTCGATTCAAATAGAACTTCCAACCTATGATCCGTAACCGGCGTCTAAGGCAAGGCCTACCTAAGCCTTACTGAAGAGTCCAATAGGTAGGCCCGAGACGAAACGCATGGTGCTTCAACGCGCGCCATATAAGTTATGTGCGTGTGTAGTCTGGGGTTATGTTCGAGGTTTCGCAAAGAACCGGCAATCTGGTTATTGCCAGTTCTTTTTTAATGTATACAATTAATACAAGAAAATGTTTTATGCAAAAATTCTTCATAAAATGTTGAATGACCTGTCGTGTTCGTAAAAGTATAGGTACGAAGTCAGGTAAAAAGACCATCGGACCTAATCTAATTTTTCCGTGATATTGGTTTTCTGTGCGATTCATTTAAACTTACTAACTAACTGTTAGCTAAATAGACGATCCTGATTTTTCACTCACTGTTTTATATTCAATGTATTTAAGGAAAAATAAAAAACGGAAAAATGGGACAAATATAAAGTACATGAGAGCCAATCCTATCTGCTAATTCCATGGAATATTTGCAAATATTTTAAATAATAATACTATTGATGACAGGTTTCCACGCCGTCTACAGGTTGCCACGCCCTGTTCTGAACGCACCCTAGTTGTAGTCGACAGTGTTGTTGTTCACAAAACACCTCTGTTGTTGCTGTTGCTAAAAATCCGTCAATTCTGTAGAGTAGACGCTGTAGACAGTAGTAAACCATAGCAGAGACAAGTCCTTGTCTCTGACCATAGTAAACAGGTGGTAAACATTGAGAATTCCTGTGCGGCATAGTAAGGTCTGAAAAAATAGTTGAAAAAGTTATTATTTTCGCAAAAAATATCATCTGGCTCTCTATTTAGGTGAATGTTCATGTGCTTTACATTTAGTCGCCTGCCATAGACTGGGACAGTTCGCTATTTATTACAATTTTCAATTATTATTTATTCTTAAATTAACCTAAGTACAACTAAAAACAACCACTTCTTGTTTTTTAACCACTTTAATCGTATTAACATATAAGGGAGAAAAGATGCAAACCGAAGAATATTACTGGTACTTTAATTGGATTTGCCTTTTACTAACACGTTCACTATCTGCACATTTTTTGACTTAACCTATTTTATTTTTACATAATTTTTTTTCAGCACCGATAATTTCTTCAAGAAAATGACTGACTTGGAATCTCCAAGGAAGAACAATGATTGTTATTTCTACTATTATTCTACATGCTCGAAGGTAAGTCTTTGCAATATATCAGCTAGTGTAAGCGCTACCATATGGTACTACCTACCTACCTAGCTTTAAATTACGTTTTAAATTTACGTACCCCCCTTTGTCATATTAAGTAACAGATTTCCAATAAACTAAGCCAACGTGTTCATCTAGCACTCGTGCTTCCAGTAGTCGTGCGGTCTTTATAGCTTGCATACTTCATAAGGGTTTTCCAATAAAAATTTACTTTTCATATTCAATATGCCCGTTCTTTGAAGACCAATTTAACTTGTAATAATGATGTATTAAACAGAATCTCTTTTTAGGAGGAGGTTACAGGATTTATACAGGGTCCACATTTGAACCGGTGTCCTGCAACCCCCATCGTTCGATGTGGACCAAACCTTGTTTAATATTGGAATTTCTATTTTAAACAGTTTTATTTACGATAAGCCATGTTAAGAAATTTAAACGTACTTAGTTATAAAGGTGTAACATGCGTTTTATATTCACAATTTTCGGAATCACGAATGTCTTCTGAATATTCTGATAAAGAAAGAAAATTGATCGCTTCCCATCCGAAAGTAGCACTCAGATTTTTGTTCATCTCGTAGGATAATTTAAACTTTCATCCTATTCGGTTAAACTTATTTCTTGGAGAAAAATAACATATTTTAAATGTTTTTAGTTTATTGGGATTTCAGGGTTTTCCGGTCTTTCGCGATTCAAATATGTTAAGAACTCAAAAACTTGTTGGTTTTTTCTAATTCATAATACTTAATGGTAATAAATGCACGGTTTTGTTGCCCTTTGTCGTAAAAGTTGTATCAAAATCCGGAGGATGTTCGGTAAACGAACGCCTGAGATTTTAAGTTCCTGGCCAACCTTTCGATACTTTACTTCGGCTGACGAGGAATTTATTTTTTTAAATGGATGAAATAATTCAAATGTTTCGATGGTGACATCCTTTTTTTTTGAACAATTAACTATTAATAGTTGGATTTAAGACTATTAAGGGTACGGAAGGTATCAACATTTGTTTGAAGCAATAAGCGGCAAATAGTTGCCATGATTTAGTTATAAACATTTAATAAATTAACTGAATAATCATTTTTCGAATATCTGTTCCATAAGTCGTCGCCAATGGTCCAATCTTGAACATCCGATGAACCTTTTTTATGTTTCCTGAACCATGAATGCGAGTATTTCAACAAAACTGCTGTGAAAACCTGACAAACATATTTACCTATTTTTTTTTATGAAATTGCCTTATTGAACTAAACGGAGATCTTGAGTTAATGAGAAATTAAATAATCTAAACGATCAATCTTAACTTGATTCTTTTCATGTTTATAAGCTACATTTACTGCAATTGTGAATAGTAATTATTTTTGTTTAATGTATTTCTATTGTTTTTTTTTAAATAGTGATCGAAGCAATATTATGTATAGTATACCAGATATTCTGCTATACATATAGCAATCGGCTTGCTGAAATTGCGCAGTGTAATAATATCGATATGAATTTTTAATTCTTTTTTCAGGGTGATAGCTGTGGATTTAGGCATGAGCCGTCGGCATTAGGATGTGAAACAGTGTGTTCTTTCTGGAAGGAAGGCAAGTGCTTAAACGTTCATTGCAACTTTAGACATATGGAGCTAAAGGTTGGTCGTTCTTATAGCTTGGTAAATATCTACATTTTTTCTTTTTGAGAATTTATATAACCCAAGGTAACATTCCAGTTATATTTTCTTTCAGAAAAACCGAAAAGCTATACCATGTTATTGGGAATCGCAGCCTGGTGGATGCTTGAAGCCGCACTGCCCATTTATGCATCATGCAACAGCTACCTCTACCCCGAGTGAGAATGCAGCCGAATTAAGTAAGTATGGAACATTTAATTACTAAATACTACTGCTGATTGTTGGTGCGGGTTAAAAATATGTTTCGTCTCAAGTCTTGTTTGGAAAATATATAGGGTGTCCCATTTCGGACATCCTGTATAACGTTACATTTGAATTAAATTTGTATTGTGTAGTGAACGCGTTCTTTTCATTTCATTAGGTCTAACGGTTTTTGAGATATTTGAAATTTTATGTAAAAAATGACAGTTGCAGCCACTCTAATAATTATTCATGTTTCCTATAATGGAATTTGTCATACTTAATTTGACTCGCATTTATTGTTGAAAAGGACTTACATTAATGGAATTTTGAAAACTATTAATACAAAGTGTTAAAAAAAAAGTTTCAAAATAGAGTTGGAAAAACCGCCCAAAATCAATTTTTTCAAATGGAAACCTCCATTTTTGATAATTTTGTCATATTCAGTATTAAAAATAAGTGTAAGTTTGTGTAACGATGTATATTCCAAAAGTGTTTAGTTTTCGAAATATTGCCAATTTAATGCTTTCATATGGCTATTTTGCAGCATCTTCTTTTAAATCCTGTCATTCTTAGTTGCAATGACGAAAGTGGCCATTTTTAATACAATAAAATGCCAAAGGAAAGCTGACATAGCTGTCAGTTACCTTTTGAAAATAATTAATAATCATGCCCGGGCGCTTAAATTATACAAACGAAGATTATTTAAACTTATTTATTATTTATGGAGAATGTGATAAAAGAGCATTTAAGATTTTGCACCAAGCAGAACTTTTATAAGCGCGTGCTTTATTATATTCTGTAATATTAATTTCAGATAAATCTGAAGCTGTAGTTCAGGAAAACTGTACGCAAGCCAACAATTATAGAAGCACGAATACAGTCGACAAGTTAATTGTGTCATTTGAAGACGGTATGCACCTTGTTAAATAGTTCAATATTTATAGTAATTTTTACTCTTGTTATAATCTTCAGAGTTTATTGCTTTTTTCAATTAATAATTGCGGAATTGATGTTTTTTAAATTATATATATGTAACAGAATTATTTTTAGTTAGTCTTTCGGAATTGGTTCTTTCGGTTTTAACAAACCAAATCAGAACGCATGATTTGTATACTTGATTAGACAATTTGTAAAAGGGTTGCTTCTTTGCATAATTCTATTAAATTGTAGTATTGATTAACTTATAACTCTCAGTATTTACTGCCGAGCTTACTGGTGCTTTTAATACAATAGATTGATAATTTATTATTAAAAATTGAATATCATCTTAGACCTACTGATATTTATGGATTTCCATATTGCAATTTTAAGATTTCACCGATTCTTAGTTACACTTAGTGCAAAGATGTAATTCATTAGTTGTTGGTCTGTATAAATTATTCGGCACTGTGCTCAATGATGTTTATGAGTAACGCTCTTACCCCTGAATGTAAAATTATAGGTACTTTAAAGAATTAAGAATAGTGGCAGTATTGGCCGACTAGTTAGAAGGGAGAGTTGTAGTTCTTCTTTTTCTTCTGAGAACAAGACCGATACGCAACTCCCTTAAAAAACTAAGTAATAATATTTAGCAGGTTCTACGATCAAAATTGCATTTACTATTTGGATATTTCGATCTAATGAAAAACTTTTTATGGCTGTTATAGTTGTGGATATTATTATAACAACTTTCCAAGTATCCGATTTGTAAGTGTAGATGCACTAGATCTGCTAGAATCAGTTACATTTACGTAGTCTTACCAGGTAGTTTCACAAAAATTGGCTGTTATATATAGGCACGTAAAAATGTATTAAAACTAATGAATATTTACTCGGAGAATGTTGTGTCACCAGTAAACTTTTATATAATATATTTAGAGGAATTGCTCATTTGTTAGTATAATAGTTATGGTATTGTAAGGTGCATTGGTGAATATGGGTTGGGAAGTATGGTATATTTTGCTCTATTAACCTGATTTGGTCGTAGTACGTAACATGAATGAATTGAATAAATGGGTCTGGCCGACCCGAGATTAGCTGCTACAATAGAATTGATCTAAAATTATATATACATATTTCATAATTGTTATAATATTTTTATTTTTTATTTATCATCAGGATGACTTATTATTATTATCCAGTCAGTTAATTTTTGAAACACGTTTTAAATCTGTTAAGATAGCAAACGTTATTTAAGAATAATTGAGATAAGCAATAAACGTCAGTAATTTAAGATAATTGTTGCAAAGCACAAGCAAATACATTTGCGCTGAGCAAGTTCGGTGATTTGTTGCTTACTTATCAAACGCATCTAGAAAGTTTGTTCCCCTGATATTTGCATCGAAATAAACTATGAACCAAGGTGAGTGCGTATAACTAATTAAAGGCGCTTCAAGAAATCGGTGATTGTGTCGTTTGAGTCCCTTAAAATTTTCAGTTTTTGCTTTTTTTACCTTAGAAACACTTCAAATTATCTCTTCACTGGAAACCCGGTTCCGAAGGCAGCAGCAGTTCCGACTAAGGGCATCCGCAGACTGGCGACACTTTTGTCGCTAGACAGTCTAGTCGCCAAGATCCGGCGACTTTGGTGCAGAATCGCGTAAATGGAGCGAGTAAAAGAGATGGTTGATTATTTCATATAATAATTTCGATTCGGATATTTTTTTATATAATTATTATCACGTATAGATATTTTCATAAAATGGTTTGGAATGTTAATGTTAAAATATGGCGTATTTGTCTTACTGGAGGTACGTGAGCAAGTAGTTCTTTCTAGTCACAGCGGAATTTATCTCCCACCTATTATAATTATAAAATATAACATATAAAAAAAGTGATAGGGGTATTAATCCAAGTGATAAAGTGTTATATAATATAGTAGATATTAACTTCTACAGTCACTGTAAATTGTTATTGAGAACTTAATTGAATTACGACCAAGTATGGAAAGCCTAAATAAGATTACAGTTCAGACTCTTTGAGATAATTAACATGTTCAACTAAACCTTGCAAATTGCTGAAGGGTGGAAATAATCATATTAAAAGGAATGACGGGACAAATAATCAAAACGGCAATGTTGAGAATAAGTAATAATAATGTATTATTTTTTAGCATTTACCTACCTTACTTTGCACCTACATAACATTAAGATGTATCACTTTACTATTAGGGCCTTGGTTTGGTTTCTATTTTTCTATCTATGTTTTGTATAAATGTCGGATAGTTTTAAAAATTACTTTGCAATAAATTTGTCATTGTCAATAATTAAAGTTAATAACAGAGCTTTCACGTACCTTAGACGTGGTATTCTATGGTCCGGTGTATACAAACAAATTAAATCTAGGGTTATGTATCAGTAAACAAAAGTTAAATAACATCAACGTGATTTTTTTAATGAGTGAATGCAATTTTATTCGGGAACCTATTTTTTTCTATACACGTTTTTTAAATTTTACCGCCTTTAAATGGGAAGCAAATTTTTAAAACTGCGACAGCAACTCGATGAGTTGGGTTATTTGCAAGATTTGGTACCAGAATGTATCCCTTTGGTTGAAAAACTCCTGCTGGATCTAAATACAACCACAACCAGCCTACAAAAATATATGAAAATATCTCAGCATGCTTTGGAAGTAAGTAGCACAACAAATATGCCATCAGTGACATTCTTACTTTTGATTTTGTCAGTTTTGAATATTATTCAATATTCTGAATATTCTAAGTATTCTTAGTTTGAAGTGAACTAAACAATGAGTCCGTTGGACTAAATGTAGGTATGTACTTATTTCCCAGTGGTTATAGTAGATATTCCCATTAAGTATAAAGAAATATCCCTGCGTAGCAGTTTACTTTATGTAAAACTCTGCAATTTGGGTAAGCGGGTACACATTCTCCACCCATATCTCATCTACTATTAGGGCCCACTTTTTCCTACTTGAAAATCCGCTAAAAAGTTGAATCCTAAAATTTGGGCCAATTCTCAGATCACAAACTGAGCGCATTCCTGCACAAAATAGATCTGACTAAATTCATTTTGTTCAAGCAAATGCATAATGTATAAGTACAGACTAGATTAGTCGAAGAGTAGAAATAGCATACTACTATGTAAAATGTAAATCCATCCAAAAAACCAGTCAACAAAAAATACCAGCAGGCGAAGGACAGGAAGTTATATTTATGTTCTTAGCGGTATCATTTTCATATTCATCAAAAAATCAAACAGTTATTTTATTCTGCTGTATTTATTACAATTTTAATACTATGTCTGGAAACAAGCGTGGATTCAGAACGGGGGTCATGACCCCACTCCCCTTGTGCTGGGTTTATGTCGAGTAATGATAATTTTTCTAATTTCATAGACCATTTAAGAAAATAAATACTTTGTATTATGGCAAACACCAACGCGAATGTCTCGCATAATATTCATATTATCGCATATTATGAATATTATGCTGTTATTATAATTATATGGTGCATCAGAAGAACAAATAACGCAATATAATAAAACTGATTTACTGAATAACATAGATAAAACAAAAACAATTTATTCTACAAATTCCACAAGGAGGTATAGGTTTTTGAATTGTTAGTTATCCAAATCGTTGAGTTTACTTATAACTTATAACATAAGTTGAAATATGCATTATATCTTTAGGTTGATGCTAGGTATATCGTAAAAAGAATTATTATTAATTTAATAAAATATTTATTATAAAAAGTTCGGTTTTCATTCTATCAGATATTCATTTTATTTTGGAATTTTAAGTACAAAGGTTTTTTCGGCAATATTGAAAAGTCTCCTAAGAAAAAGCTGGTCGGAACTAAAAAGCATACATAAAATCAAACTGCATTTACTTACGTCGATCTCCGTGAAAAAAATTGGTTTTATACTCATCAAAATTATTTCTCGAAATTATTCTCGATTTTACATAATTTATAATTTTCATTAGGTAAATTTTTTTAATTACATTTACGTTTTTCATTTATAGAAAGTGCTACATTCTTTCAGTTTCTTACTACACAATTTTATACTTTAAATCCGTATTTTAGTTCGGCTCAGTTGAACAGACTTCAGATATTTTGATCTTGAATACTGAATCTCGCCTTTTCATATTACGAATGATTTAAATTTTTGTGGTGTTCTGGATGTTGTCTTTGTTAATACCAATTAAGTCTTTGATTGGTATTAGTATTATTATTAACTACGAGATAATTTTCTAAAAAAACTGTAAACCCCATTATTCCTGTAATTGCATACCTATTTGTACTTTTGAACTCTCATTAACCTTTTGTTGCGAATCTACTCTTCAGCCAAAGTCACATTTTTAGAGAAACATCGTATCTCAGTGCTAATATTTGATGTCTTATATCATGCAGAACTCGTTAAAAATAATACATGGGTTTTCTATATGGCTATAACTCAAGTAGACAAACTATGTATAAAAACTTTGAGAGCGTTTATTTTCAGGAAAGAGATTTTTTAGAACTTGGTGCAGAGCCTTATAAGTGTGATAATGCAAAACTTATAAGAGAATGTAATGACTTACATCAGGCTTTTATTCATTTTAAGGAGCAACATGAAAAAATTCAACGAGGTAAATATTAAATGCTTGATTTAATTAATTAACAGTTAATAACATTGACATTTTAAAGTTAGGTGTTCAAGAAGAAGTATAAATCACAGCATAGTTTCAAAAATCATTGGCTTCAAAAAACCTATAAGATCCCCTAAAAAAAATGTATGTGTACACAAAAGCTTATTCTTGTAGTCCAAACGGTTTTTAACATATTGTTAAAACATATATGACTTTTATGAGGAATCTGCAGTTGTCCGTTGCGGCACTGATTTGGAATCATCCTGTATATGTTTTCAAAAACAAAATGTTTTAGATCTGAGACGTCAAGCATCTAATCTACAAACACAGTTAGATAATTGCAGTTTAGAGAAAAATAAATTAATCGGTCAAATCCAGACCCTGGAGAAGGAAAAATATCGAAAAGGTAAGCTCGAGTCAATTTTTTAAGCTGAATTTTTTTTATTTCGTTTTGTCTTTATTTTAGGTTCAAAGCTAAATGCTGCTAAAGACGCACTGTGCAAAAGTAAGCCTAATGTAAATATTGATTCAGCTATGGCGTCAGCCAAAAACACTAATGCTGAATTAAAACGACAACTAAAAGATTTGGAAGACAAACATTTACAATTAACTGAAGATAATACGGTTTTGAAAAATCAGGTATGTGTTCTTTGGTTAGAAGTGGGTAGCAGTTCAAATAGTAATATTAAAAAAACAGTAATTACAGTTTTATAACAGTAACGCTGTCCTCCACCCTGACTACAGCCGTCTGGTTATAATTCGGTCGAATTTACTGATTAAATAATAATAGTTTGATATTATGGTGACTGCACTGCAACGTATGGAATTAAAACATTTCCGTTTAGTTCTAAAATTCGTTCCAGTTCGAATTAATTCAGGAAAATCTTCTCCTTGCAAAGCTCAACATTTTTAACAGTGTCTCAACGATATAGAAGTTAACCATTTTTGTTATATGACTTATTTTGGTTTAATTCCAATTCCTATGAAACAAGTTATTATATAAGATTACCATACTGCGGCACCCTTTTTCTGAAAATGTGAGAAATCTGAATTACAAGTAAATGATTATTGTTAGCATGTAGCTTAATATGAAGAAAAACACTTTCAAATAAATGTGTTCAATGATTTTTTTGACAAATATTCTATTGTAGGTGAAAACTCGTGATGAGCAAATCGAAAGGTTACAGTCTTTAATGGAAGGCGGCCGCTCATATAACAGCGCTAGTAAAAACTGTTGCTATAAAAATATTGATAGACAAATAGTAATTTTGCAAGATGAAGTGACGCGACTTAAAAAAGAGAAAAGTGAATTAGAAATGCAAATAAAAGGTATCATTATTGAAATTATTTAACTTTCGCTTGGCATAATTATTAACATTTTTGCTAACGTGTTAATAAGGTCGAATTAAGTGAATACTTAATACATCTGCATTCATATATTTATATAGAGGCAATAGCCAAACAGCATGAGGCTATGAAAAGAGCTCTTCACTTAGCCGAAAGAAACAGGCAATTGGAAAAAGAACTGAAAGATGTTGACGAAATTGCTCTTGCAGTTGAAGCAGAGTGTAATAATACTGTGAAGGGTAATTCTGAGAAAGTTGCAAGGTAAGGGTTGGACACTGTTTGCTTAAGAAATTTATTTTATAATTGTGATTTTCTCTTCGATAGATTGCAAGATCGAATAAACGAGTCTTTAGTTCTAATTCAAAATTTAGAACGAGATAATACTAAACTGAAGCATGCCAAGTTGGAACTCTCCGCCGACTTAGATAGTGTAAAACTTGAAAAAAATCATTTGCAAGCGCAGCTCAAGAAGGAGGAGGACGACAAGAAGAAACTCACTGATAAAATAAACTCCTTTACTATTATAGGTGGGCAATTTTATTCAGACAAATTTTTATTAATTGTATATTTTTTATAATCTTTAAATTCTTTATAATCTTTAAATACATTGCTCTTCCAGAAAATGATTTAAATTTGGAAATTGATCGCCTTTCAAAGCTCAGCTCCGAATATAAAAGACGAATTGCAGAATTGGAGGCCCAGCATACACATGTAAGCACTTAATATTTAATAAAGGATTTATGCCAATAAATAATGCAGTAACCCCTAAGATAGTAATTTATATTTTTTTAAATGGCAAGTGCAAAATTAACGCGTCAAAACAACTTCAGTAAACTGTCAATGTTGTCTAATTTTTAATTATTATTATTTACTTTTTACATAGAAATTTGGAGAAAAACTCGATTCTGTTAAAGAAGATGTTACCAGGTCTACACAAGAAGTTCAGTCGAACGTTGAACAACTGATCATGAAAAGTAAAAAAACTCACAAGAAAAGCTGCAAAAAATCTAATAAATCTCCAACCAAGAATCGCTCTCCAACTCGAACGGAGCCCGTTAAAAGCTCAATTGATAATGCCGAATCGAATAAAAAATGTTGTTGTGAATCTGGGAATTGCATCAAGAATCTACGGGATCTATTGGACAAAGAAGTCGAATATAGAGAAGTACATGTAAGTGATTTCAAGTAAACTGCTACTTAAATAGGCATTAATTCATAGTGACGGTGCTCATACGGACATCTGCAGATTTAAGTCTATATAATATACACTTGAAAATATGTTAATACAATTTCAATGAGTTGATTGCTTGTTATTCCTTGTTGCAGGCAAAGCAGTCAATGGAAGACTTGCGTCAAGAAAAAGAGTTTTATATGAAGGAGTATCATCGCGCTTTGGAACAGTTGAGGAATGTTCCCAACTATGAGATATCTGAAAATGTAAGGGTCAAAGTGAATTCAGTTATTTAAGAGCTGACCTGAAAAGCGTTTTGCTTGTATAAAAATACACGGACTGTCGTTTAAGTTGTTTAGCTGCTAGTTATATGTATTTCAGGGAATTGCACAGTTGAAGCAGCAATTGAAAGACAAAGAAAATCAAATAAAGCAATTGGAAGATGAGATTCAAAAAATGAATTGGGAAAAGTCGCAAACGTTAAAAGGCGAACTTCCAGGACAAACATATAGTAAAGTCCCTTGTACCAAGGTAGGTAACTTTTAAAGGTTCGCTTATACTTTAAACTAACGATAGAACAGCCAGTTGGATGAAAGTTTCCAATTTTATTTTACTTTATTATTTCAACTAGGTATAATGGTATTAATGTTTTAGATTAGAATTTTTTAAATTATTTTCAAGTACTATTTTGATGACTGTTTAACCGGATTCGCGCTATTTTCAAACATATTTGTCTGTCTAAATTTTCCGAAGCTCATACTTATGCTTGAATTTCAGTCTACCTGTAGAATACGGGAAAGAGAATTGGAAATTAAATCACAAGATCTTAAGTACATCGAAATGGAAAATAACAATTTAAAAGCTAAACTTCAGGTAAGTTATGTATTCATTATACATAAGTATACAGTATATCAGGGGCGGATTAAAGCATTAAAATTTAAGATTAGATAAAATTTTTCTTCCATTTTGCCACCCTCTTCTATTGAAACACATGTGGGCACTAAACTAGAGCATTCTAAATGACATTAAAAGATGTTGTGGAAGTAATTATATTATTGTTATTTCGTAGTCAATAAATGAATCTGCTTTATTCAATGAAGAACGAATGAAGAAAGCATTTAAAGATATGGAAGAGCATATTCGAAAATTAGAAGATGAGAGACGAGATTTGGTTAAAACTGAGCTAACTCATCGGTCCAATATGTCGCATTTGGAAGACGACTATAGAAGTGCTTTAGACCAATTGCAGAAAACACAACAGGAATTAAATGCACAACGAGCTAATTATGCTCAATTAAAGTAAGTTTTTAATGTATGAAATAGTAGTTCAATAGATTATGCAACCAGCATATAAAGTAGCCAAGATAATAACATACATTTTTCTGCTGAACTACATTTTCGAAAAATGTTCTAATTTATTATTTGAATATTTCAGATTACTCCATGAACAGACGGATCGATCACTTTCAGAGGTGCAAGTGCAATTGATACGTGCTCAGTCAGAATTGGCAAATTATCAATCGAAAGTGAAAGATTCAAGCCGAGATTCTCTTGCGTATGACAAGGAAATAGCAAGATTGAAGTCCGATATTCAAATCATGCAAGCCAATTTAACAAAAATTGATAGGGAAAAGGACGATTTAATGGTGAATATATTTATTCAGTTCATAGTTCAATATTCAATTTTGTATTGTTTTAAAGAATAACTTGGATACAAAAACGGAGAAAGTTGCATTACTGGAGGACAATCTTGCTTCAAAATCTAAAATGATTTCCAAGCTTGAAGACGAATTGAAAGAACTAAACAGGAGACTAAGGTAAGTCAATCGAAAAGATATAAACAAAGTTAAGTACTAATCTTTTGGATAGGTTTTTTCAGTTTGCAATGGAAGCAATGGTTAGTCCTTTTATTTTGTTACTTGTGGGTATACGTAAGTGGCGCCTGGAATCTAATAACCGGAACAAAACTTTTTTACCAAGTTACCTTATCTCAAAGCGGTCTGCTTTCAATTGTCTAGAAAATTATATTTTTTTATTTCTTTTACTCTGTTTTGACATTTTTGTAATTGGCAAAAAGGCTCGTTCCTTTTCAATTTCTTCCTAGGGTTGAAGCAAACAACGCACGTTAATTATCTATTTATTTCTAATTGAGCCCTTAAATGATAGAAAATCACAGGTACTTTTGTATTTAAAACAGATGCATTTACAGTCTAGTGAGATTGCGTGTAGTTTTTATTAAATAATTCAGCGATTAATGGTGCTTGCGATAAACATTCAATGATGACAGAGTTATCTTTCTTTTCAACACGTTCAACAGTTCCTGGCATACATTCACATATGGCATCTTTTTTATCGGTTCCTGGTTCCTTTCCTTCTCGCTGAGGCGCAAGCCAAGCACCTTTTGCACAGGGTCCTTGAGAATATATTTTAAAGCACTTATTACCATGCTTCAGCAACCCTTTACTTCTATCACACTCTATATCATCTTCTCGAATTTCGCAATTTGGATGCTGGCATATGCACACTCCATTATATGAGAGCCCATCGATTGATGGTCGCGTTTCAAAATCGAAAGACAATATTTTGCCGACGTCGCAGGGCCCCCGAGATCCAATTTTATAACATTTGCTATGTTGTGGAAAGAATAGTTCACCTCGAACGCACGGCTGAAGCAAACACGAGGTAGAATTGACTAGAATATGATCAGGTTTACAAGGTCCTCGTGTGAATGGTCGATGGCATGAGGTATTGTTTTGATGCCGAATATACCCCTGTTTACAAACGCATCCTCCAAGACTGGTTTGCGGGAGAATCGTAAACATTTCTCCTTTTGAACATGGACCTATAGTACCTAAAATATGTTTAGTGCATGAGATGTGGAGAAACTTTTAAGGCTGAAACATATTCGGTTGTCCAAAAAGCGATATTGTCAAACTTTATATTCTACTTTACATGAAAACAGTACCTATACCTACTCATTCAATCTAACTCTTGGTTAAGCAATTCTTCTTTTTACAAGAAGCGTTTCTTAGCAAGGCGACATGCGTCTCCTAACTGATTTTTACGCCAAACGATTTAACTATATTTTAATGATAAAAGTGCCATTTCTAAGTAGCAAAGTGAAGGGCTGTTGAATTTGGCCTCAAGAACCATACAGTTCTGAGCTTAAACCGTAGGAGAGAATGTTTTTTGTCCATTTGCAGCATTTTCGTCAGATCATTTTTGTTCTTACCTAACTCGAAACACTTCTTTGTATTCCAATGATAGTGAGGTAGAGCACTGTAACAACCACAGCTTTGATCAGGCAAAAATAAATGTCCCATTTCCCTACAAGGCCCTTTGGTAAAATGTTGATAACATCGATTGTTTCCTGCATGGAACATTCGCATTTCTTTTTGCTTATTGCAGGTGCACAGCGGTATTTTGTTCTCATCGACAGTTAAAAGTTGTCCTTTCGAGCAAGGTCCTTTGGTCAATTTTTGGTAGCATTTCCCATCGTTAATCCAATGAATGGAGTTTGAACTTGCACATTTCGGAATTATTTTGCAGCTTCCTAATTGTTGATTGGATCTAAAAATACCACACAGCAACTTGGAGGTTTAAATATTAAAAACCTTACACGATTACATAAGTACCCGTATTTATGTAATCAGCTTACGTTGTAATGTTATTTTTGTGTATTCTATCAGGCCCAAAATAAAATCCTTCCGAACAGGATCCTTTAGTAAATAATTGATAGCATTTGCCATCTGTAAGTGAAAGGGCTTGTTTTGGCGGACAGCGGCATTCTGCATACAATTCCTTTCCTATTTTACTTCTAGCTGGAGTGAGTTCCATTCCATCTGGGCACGGGTAGCCGATCTGCAAATATATTTTTTCCATGTCACTTTCAGTGAATTATTGGGTAAAACGGCTAATTTAAGATCAGTTGTAACACAATATTTGTTAAGTAATTTCGAAAGTTTGCGAGTTTTCCTGAATACGAATATTGCGCACATAAAGATTTTTCTTAGGGAGCATTAACATATATTTGCATTAAAATAGAACCCAACAATTACGTAAGCTTTGTACAGTGAACCTTGATAACTAACGTTTAAGCAATTGTCTGCATTACATTTGTTAAGTTCTAGGAAAAAACCCAACGGTTATATTTTCCTCAATTCTAAACTTTACGTAATGTTCATTAATAATATTGAATACTATTTTGCTCAACTGAACATTACAGACGAAATACGAATGATTGTTTTGTGATAATTACAGAGTGGTACATAAGTAATTGGACATATATTTCTTTTGTTGCAAAGTTTTTTTCCGTGTCTCAATTTTTTTGGTTTAAGTTTCTTTAGTTTAATAAAGATAATGTTGATAATAAATTAACTTTGCACCAGAGGCGTACCAAATTGCGGCATGGAAGTAGAATTTGTCCATTTTAAGGCATGCCACGTTCTTCAATCGATTGTATAATTTGATATGGACTAAAATGGGCATTTTGGGTCGTACAAGAATTTCAGTGTCCATACTTTGTTCGGCGAAATAAATTACGGTTAATTGCATAACAATTTTACTCGCATTTGCAATCAAAATTAGATATATTGACCACAACGTTAAAGAAAACACAAAGATGAACCGTTTGGCAATTTAGAGTTAAAAAGAAAATTAAAAACAAAATTGAGAAGTTAAATATTGAAGATAACTTCTAACTAACTCAAAATATAACAAATGTTCCATTTAACAAGAGTTTCGAATAATTCTATTGATTCAGTGCATTTTTTTATTACTAACTGATTTAAATAAGTAAATTAGCGAGACATTTTTAGAATATTTTATTAGCATATCTTTTTATTGTATGAGTGTAACCATTGATCTGAAAAATCGTTCATTATATTATAGTTTTAGTAACATATTACGTGAAATATGTATATATGTAAACATATATTATTTGTTACGTCTTACTATCTTTTAATTAGATGATTAGTTACATATTTAATCTATCTAACCGTTTAAAAGAATTAATTAGCTTTAAAAGTTATATTTTCAATTGATTTTAATATTATTATTTTTTCAATATTACTGATGGTAATACGATTCAGAAAACCCACAGATATTGAAAAATAGAAATTAGCAACAACGACACAAGTCAAGCTTATTATTGTTTGGAATAATCTATTTTAAATTGTTTAAAAATCACCATTCATAATCAAATCAACGAACTGTTGATAGATACAAAATAGATACAACTGTTGATAGAAATCAACGAACTGTTGATATACCATAGTACCATAAAAAACGTAAATTGATTTTTGAAAAGTCTTACTTGGAATATTTTGTAACATTGTCCATCAGGAGGCCAAAATAGAAGTTGCCATCCACCAGGTCTATTTGCGCATGGGTTCAGGTCTGGGTCGGCCCATGGAGGAGGCATTATTGCCCCATGAATTGAAGGCATTATTATGAATATGTCAAGTAATATCCATATCTGAAATTGTATTCATGGAGTAAACAGTTTCTTAATGTCGATCTTTCGGCTTGGAAGAGTACACACAAAAATCACAAGTTTATCTACTATTCGTTCAAGTAAAAATATGAGAAATTATTAGTTTTAAATTGTTTTTAACCATCAACGTAATAATCAATTATATCAACAATTTTCACTTTAAAACTTAATGTTAAGTTGGAAATTGATAAGTTTCCTCCAAGTCAACGTGAAATGGCAATATCTGAACACATGAATTAAAAATATTTGAAAAATAGTCCAGACCTAACTTAATCAAATTAAATATGTGAAAAAATGCAGTTTTAAGGAAGAAATTCACATAAACTTGAGTCTTCAAAAGCATAAGAAAAACATGCCATTTTCCAAAATTGCAACACAAGCAAAAGTTAATTTACCATGCTATAATATTGACACATTAAAGCGTCCAACCTCGTTAAATATCAATCTCATCAAGCATTCAGTGGCGTAGATATAGGTACCGGATCATTGACTAGATTAAATTGAAAAAACCAACAAACGAATAAAAATATAAAACAATGCAATACAAATGTTTCTCGCAGATTTCGTTTTTTCCAAGTTTGACGAAAACTAAGCTCAGATCGTTTTATCATCAAAAATTCAAGTTATTGCCTTGATAAAACTTGTCTTACGTGCTGATACAACGACCACTTATTATTATTATTTATTTTTTGGTAAAAACGCTGCTCTGCCGAGGCTTAATTGGTTTGCCTGATTAAAAATATCGAAGAGTTAACTTTCATGCTCGTGATATACCCGCCTATAATTTTTAACTACTACTATTTGATTCGTGACTGATCCACGCCTTCAGATAAAGCTGTGAACCTTTTTAGAAGCACGTCTGATTTTTCTTTCTACTGCAAGAAAATTGCTATGAAACGGAAAAAGTGAGCGTTGCCACAAATTTATCAATTTGTTCGAATTTATCAATTATCATCGAAGAAAACCTACAACAAACTTTTTGTTTTGCTCTTTGTGGTTTCAAATTTATTTTAAGTTTTTGTTTCAAAAATTCTATTTGTTTACTATATTAAAATTAAACATTATTAATAGTTTTATATTTGTAATTACAGAATTATTTGTCTAAAATTGTTTATTGCTGATCAATTATGGACATTTTTATGTTACACTATAACAGACGGAAATTAAGCGTTAACTTTGCATGCATTTGTATTATAAACGTTTCCATTTTTTTATATATTTGATTATCTTACATAAACCTTTTTTTTTAATGAGCAACTGCAGCCTCTACTGCCGTATTAACTAGCGATTAAATTGCTATTGTAGGGTTTTACATTTCCGTTAATTTACCTGTTGCGCAACATATCGCCAAGATAATTGAATCGAATTGATTTAACTGCAAAAAGCACATTCTAATACTTACTGAAATTCGTGATTAGAGCGAACGAAATTTTAGTTTTTTTCCCAAGTACATGTCAATTGATTTTCGACAATGCATGACTTCCTTTGATTTATTGCATAATGTGCAATTTCCAATATCACCATCAATCTAAATCCATAGCGGAAAAATGGATGCGTATTTGTAAATGGTACTCCATTATATAATTCTGTAAATTCTCTCGGTGGCATGTATGTATACTGAGAATACCGATGTTCGCGATTAGATAACTTTTTAGGTTTTAGATTGTATCACATTAAGTTCGAGAAATTATTATGAAAGTAATTATGGATAATAATTCCCCTGAAAGAAATTTACGGTTACCTTCGTGAGACAATAGGTGTTTCCTTGTTGCGTCTTACACACATTTCTTTAGCTACAACTTTGAATAATTAATCTCGATAGGATACTGTTACGTTTATTATGTAATCATTGCCTATGTTTATTTCATTATTGTTGGCTATTATAATTTTGATACATTTCTTGCTAAGGCGTGTTAAAGGTTGTTAGTGTAAATTAAAATCGATTCACCGAATTTTTTGGTAAATTATGGCATTTTATTACTTTTTACTATTAGGCAGTATACAAGCATAGTAATCGTATAAATATGCGATGACGTAACAAAAAATGTGATACTGCTTTCTTTCTATAAAAGAAATACTTTCTTTGTATATAATATTTTGACATTTTTTGTTTTATATAAATAAGCTTTTAATTTTTCTTTTTATTAACATCCTTTGCAACTTTGCACGCAACCGCAATATTCATCTAACGAGGATAAACTTATGTGTTTAATTTGCATAGCCATACTGTATTGGAATTTTGAATTTCTAAAAATTTTTTAACACATTTTATACGAATCATTTTATTGAGTTTTTATCTAATTTTTTACCTAAATAGTTTACTCATTACATTTTTTTAGAAGGGCTGTTTTATTTTTGCTGAATTATATCTCGTAATGCAATAAGGAGTCACATTCTTCGTGTCTTCGTAACACATTTGAGAAGCTTTACAGTCAGAGTAGTTTTAATAATTTGTATTATATACGTATAATTATTATTGTGCTTATTATTACAGCTTGTCGCATATTGTCAATATAAAAGATAATCATGATTCCACAACTTCAATTTGTAAAATTATTTTATTTTTTGCTATCTACCAAAATTTATTGTCATTACATTAAATGATAATTTACATATATTTTCTTATCTTAATTATTTTAAACGTTTAATGTATATTTATTGTTATGATTAAATTTTCCATCGTAATTTTGTTAAATGAAAATACACACGTATTTATAACGCGTTATTCTACAATCAGACATACGGTTAAACTTAAACATTTCGTTAAATATTTCGATAAACAAGAATGCATAATAACTGACCATACGAAAGTCAAAACAAATGTTAGAAGAAATTTAATCGGGGTTTTTAGAAATATTTTTATTATGTATATTTTATTGAAACAAGATTGTTGATCGAAAACTTTTTCATTTTTTCACTTTTTACACTTTAACTGATTGAACACTTTGTATATTAAACTTGTTGAAATATTAGAGCAATGTGGGAAATTTTGTAACTGGTTCTCAAAAGTCTCTTCAAAAACATAATTTTCATTTGTACATTCAATGTGGAATATATCATACTCTCATGCAATGTCATTTAGGTACTTTACTTTAGGTATTATTAATAAAATTTTAGTAAAATGATTTTGAAACTTCGCTATTGGTATTTGAAAATTAAATGATATTATTGTGTTTATTCACCCTTTAAACATGAATTGAATATGACATCATCATAAAGGTCATTTATATAATATCAACAAATCCCGCATTATTTTCGACGCATTCATCCGCGAAGAAATATGGTAATGAAGTGGAACCCCATCTTGTTGAGACAATAACTGATTATCATAATTATAATCATCTTTTATTATAGCACGATTTTTTGTTAACTATGTGGGCACACTTTTATTGATTAATGTATGTGATCGAGTACGTTGTTTGTTAAATAGTTTTCCCATATTGGGCCACAACATTCATAATCATAATGTATTTTTGGCCGACATTTATTTCCGGTAAATTGTGAATTGCAGTTCTTTTATAACTGATTTTTATACCATAATGCCACTTTATTGAGCCATGATTATTTAACAACGTTACAATAAATATGTATTGTTGCAATTTTTTCAATTTGAACCAAATTTTATTTTTACGGTGTAATAGGGTATGGTATAAGACGAAAGTAATAATAAAACTCGTTTTTATTTTTCATTTACGCAATCCTCTTCATATTTTTTAATATTATTAGTTTATAGCAAAGTTCAAGCATTTACTTGTTTAATTAAAAATGAATTTAAACACTTTTTTTTTAACGGATTTGCATGATTATGGTAACTGAACAATGGATATGGAACATTCGATTTTATAAAGCATGATTAAGTCTTTGCGTGGAACACACTGATTCACATGATTTTCCCTGCATTTGCTAATTGAAAATCGATTTCGCTGACGGAATATTTTACGATGATTTCTCCGAATAATTTGAAATACAATTTTAAAATTCTTATTAGCACTTGTTAACTCAATGTCAGATAATTTGTAATTAATTATATACATTGCACATAATGTCACCGTGACCTGTTAAAGTAGGACGTATCGGCGGTGAATGTGGAATTATGTAATGTAGTTAAATAGGGATTTGCATTCAATTAAGTGGCGTTGTAAGGTGCGAATTAAAAAGCTACTGTTAATTTTCTACCAAAATTCAATGTTCAAATATAGTTCGAAAAATTGGCCAGTTTTACGCTATTGAGACGATTAAATTAATATAATTTCATAACATAATTAAATTGGAATAAAATTATTATAAAAAAATTAAATATAATAGTAAAAACCAAATCTACTTTTCTTTATTTTGATTCGTTTTTATTTGATTCTTTAGTGTCATTGCGCTAATTTAGAGGGAATTAAGCGCTAATGAAAGGAAAAACCAATATAATAATATACAGAACGTTTCCTGTAATAGCATGTATATACAGGGTCCACGAAGAAGAAGGAGGCTATTTTTAACTCGAAAAATACAGTTCCAATAATTGCGACAATTGTGAGGAATGCTAAAGCGGCTCTGATCTGTAGATCTAAAGTATTTTTTTGTGTTATCGATAGCAGCACATATTCGTGGGACACCCTGTATGTACAAAGGGTAAAATTTTGAAATACAGGGTGATAACGCTTCAGAAAAGTGTGTATTGTTTCTTTATATCTTCTACATTTTTTTAAATATTCATCTCGAGATAGAGTACAAATTTCTTATTAGAGCTATGCCATAAGGACACTAAATCATCGTCGGAATATACATGGTGATTATTTTGATAGGTAAAAATTTTGTTACGGAAAAAGTTGTATGAAGAATCAGAATTCAGCTCGCTGCAATAAATAGTAAGGGACGAAGAAAGGCGTAAAAAACTGCCTTCACTCTGTGTATTCTAAAACAATATGTGTTATAAAGAATGGTTTAAGTGTTTATGTTTATTTTTCCGTAAATCATGTGTAAAGCATCCTCACATATGAATATCAACTTTATGAAACCACAAAAATTTAAGTAAAAAAAAACAAAACCTGAAATAAAAAATATTGTCACTTTGAACGCCGTTTATCTTCGAGTTAAAAAATAGCTCTCAAGCCCACAAAGCGAACCTCAAAATCCAATAATTTTCCTTTGGATGTCTGCATAAACTAGGTTTAACATATTTAACTGCTGTATTATATTCATTATATTGCATGATTTTTTACGTAAACGTTACAATATGCCAGTATGAAAGAGTAATGCATGATGTGTAACTATTAGTAATTACTTTACAAATCGTGTTTCAAACTTGTCCGATTTAAAGAAAAATGGTAATTTGTCTGCGTGCGTGAATGACAATGAATTTCAATTTAGATCTTTAAATCTGGTATTTATTCTGCGAATGTTCGATGAATATTTGTAGGTTTAAATGCTTTTTCACTCTGCCACATATGAAGAATACATTTGACTTACCTTTATTGCTAAATCCATTATAGAAGAATTTTATATCATTGTAACTTCGTCATAGCCTTGAAAAGAGTTTTAATATTAATCAATGCACTTTTCCTGTTTTACTACTTATTTATTAAACATTACTAATTGCAATAACATTACTTTGTAATATAATATTCATATTAGATATAATAGTACGTGGATTTAAGCTAATTATGTTATGTAATAAATGGGGGGTTTGTAAAATATACAGTGTGGCCCATGCTCAGGCTCCCAATCCTATTTATTTTGCTATTATTGCAGATTAGCGATAAAGTATGTTGATTAAATCAGGATTGTTGCCTTTTCAAACGTGGCCTGTATAACATGCAACAAAATAAGACGTACTTACATGAAAAATGCGCCTAAAAACGACAAAGACAATTTCAAAATAGAGTCGATTTTTTTCTAGTTTTCTCAAAACATTTTCTGAACCTTTTAATTGAACTTCTATCTCCAATAATATTGAAAACATCGGCAGTGGAAGTATGAAAATGGGACAGACTGTACTTCTAACTTTCATAGTATTGAATTAAATTGAGAAAAAGCTTTAGGTATTTGGAAATGGGCATATTGGAATGGACAGAAAAGTTGTAGTTACTTTGGTCGTTTTATTCAGTTGAAAATTGAACGTTTTTGGAATGTTTAGTGGTTTTAATTTAATTGATTAAATATTTATTGGCAAATTAATTTAAGCCCTTCGAATCAAAAACGGCTCTCATTTAGGTAACATTTTTTGGGGCGCTTAATACAGTACATACCTAGGGGCATTCAAGAGTTAATCCACAACATTCATTTGCCACTAAATCAATGAAATTGGGCTATCAGAACTTCGCGGCTTTTAATGCCGCGACTATTGTCTTCACCCACCCACTAACGCAAATCTCTCGGGCACGATAAGAACCGACCAGGTTCACATTAAAATAAGTTGGTTGTAACCATGTTTCACTTTAACCGGTACCCTTTCTTCCACTCTTCTGCTTATTTGTATGTTGCACGCTAAGATGCAATACCGTGATTATAATGGTCGGGCAAGGACACATAAATCCGTCTATCGATTGTGAAAAATTGTCTGGTTCCTGGATGCCTTGACGGTCATTATACTTCTTTCATTATGACTGGCAATTTAGTTGACTTATTACATATGAACGAATAACTTTGCCAGAAGTAACTTACAAGTTTTTTTCTGAAAACCGATTTATTGGCAATTTTCTTAACCAGCTAGCACCGTGTATGAGCAGCTGCACCGTTTAAATTGAGTAGGTACTTTTAGAAGAGTTTTTCTATAGGTCTTCAGTACTGATCACTTCTATTTGAACAACCTGTATATCCTGTTATATATCTGCATATGCATTATGACAAAGTCAATACTATCTAAATTCGGAACAAGTGTTCCTAATTAAACAAACTCCAATATTAATTAATAGTTAAATTTGTTATTAGTTGAACTTACGTCAGATTGATTAATGGCTTATATAATCAATTATATAAGTATGCAATTTGTATTTTTTCTTTGTTAATAATCTCCTCCCTGTTGACCCACAGCAATATGTATAGCCGAAGGGAGTAAATCCAATTTCAAATCTCATTCAGCGTTTAATAACACTGACCTTTATCGACTCCTTGCTAGGTTCAATTTGGCTTCTATTGAGTATTCTAAGTGAGTGGATTGAATTAATTTTTATACAGATACCATGTTTTATTTGTAGATTGGTTACCTATTTCTTTTAATTACAGTTGTCTAATTGAACATATACCCGATTATTTTAGGTAATTTTCGTTGAATTTGCATGCAGTTTATGCGCTTTTTGCTATATTAGCGTAAATTGATTTTGGACTGTTTTTTTTTTCAGTAAACATCTGACTGAATCTTCTAGTCAAGACCAAATAGTCCGCTCTAAACAGAAAGACTTGGAAATCTTAGAGCAAGACTATGAAAAGGAAAGGCAGTTGCGCGAAGCGGCTATTTTGGAGAATAAGTACGTATTTAAATGATGTATCCGGTGTTGCTTAAGAATTATTCAATCGAAGAAAACTAATAAAGTAGTTTTTTCGCATGAGTGATGCTGAAAACTACCTGTGTTTGTGTTGATAGTGTTTACGGAGCAGGGCTGGATGTTTCCTGATTGCCTGCAGTTTAAAGTAGTTTAGATCTTTCCTTGGGTTATTTAGTTAAAAGATTGTGATCATTTGATTTTTCCTATTTTATGTTACTTTTTGTGAGCGGTTTGAAGACACCTGAAAAAGGAAAACTGATTTCTAATCGCACTCTACCAAAAATAAGTTCTACCTAACGATTTGCAAACACGAATGGCTCGCATTTTCAAAGTATATACTAGACTGATGTCCAGTCCATCAGTGAAAGAAGAAATTATTTTTCACGATCTAAACATTCACCAGTATATTTCACTTCTATATTATTTTAAAAAGCAAACATTTTTTTGTTTAGGTTTAGCAGTAGTGGTTTATTTATATGGTGGGTCAGATTTAGACTAAGCAACGTCAAAAAATAAGAAAACACCTTTTTTCGTCTATATGTATGAGGACCGGACATCACTTTTGCTTCACATGTCGGGAAACCCTGAGTAACCACCAATGATAAAACTAATCTTGTTATTTGCATCTAAGATAATCTCATAGTCGCCTGTCGAAACATGCAAAATCTTAATACTTCGACTCGTTTTCGGTATATTAATAAAATTCCTTTAATAAATTTGGATTTTCGTAAAAAAATATTTGCGATTTTCAACTGATTTAGAATACGACCATCATTTTTCTATAATAATATTTCAAATATTATACATATTTATCTTCAATGGTTTTTAATCTATGTAACCTAATGCTAAATAACGTGTCTTAATCCGCTAACGAATATCAAATGAAATAAAAACATAGGTTTCTAAATTTCCGACGATATTATTCTGATCAAGCAGTACCAATTTTGACAACTGATATATTTTTTAAAAGATTGGATTTTAGGTCAATTTTAATGTAAATTGCGATCCTCGGTGTTATTAGTGAGTGTGTGTAAAGTGAATGTTTAGTACCAATTAATTATCCAAATCACTATGGCACACAGCTGTTTGTGTTTGAAAACTGAATGGGTCCTTAATATGTTATTTTAGACGACTTCAGAATGACTTGAGCAGCGTTTCCTACGATTGTCGGGAAGCTCGAAATGAGTTAGATCTTTACAAAAGACAGGTGGAGGACTTGAAGCGACAATTGCAGCATTACGTAGCAGAAGTGAAAAGGACCGAGGATCTCATATCTCAAAAGGTTTAAATTTCTGTTTCGCTGATTATTTGCCCGTTGACCTGAAAATGATGATAATTTAAATTTTTTGATTATCAGGAACTCGAAAGAAGTGAACTACTCGATCAATTCAGAAGTCTGTCTCAAGAAGCGAATATATTGGAAAGCAACAATCACACTTTGGAAACGGAAGCCAATCAGTCAAAAATTCAACTATCAGTGGCTTTGGATCACACCTCCGAACTAGAAAGGAACATGCAACACCAAGAATCCATTATGAAAAGCTACGAGAAGCAGGTTGGCGTGTACTGATCTATTTTTTCTGTATTCTCATAAACAATTTTATAGATTTCAGAATTAACCAGTCAAGTTGCCAGGCTTGAAGTTCAATTGAAGCAAATTTTAATCGAGAAAGAGCACTGTAATGTGGAGCTGAAACAGATGGGCGATTTATGCGTAAAATTGGATAAAGATAAGGATGATTTGAAAAGTGAACTTAGCAACCGGGAAGATCGACGATCTAATGTTAGTAATGATTGATGATTTCCTTTGTACTTTTTTACTTAATGTAAAACTATTTAGATTCAAATGCTTTCTGAAAAATTGAGTTCTGAAAAAGTAACTTTACAAAAAGCACTGGAACAAGAGAGGAGTAGCTTGGAAGCGGTCGAAAAGCTCCTAAACGATTCCAGGCGAGACTTGACTGAACACAGGCTGCTCAATCAAGATCTGCAGCGGGAGGTTAATAGATTGAAGCAGAAAGTTGAAGAATTAGAAGAAAGATTGTAAGTACCTATGAAATCTAAATGAAAACTATCGAGCTGCATATTTTTATAAAGGTTGGGATATAAGTTCTTGTTGTGTTTTGCAGAACTGCAACCGCCGAACAGCTTGATAACTATCAACTTAAGGCCTTAGAGTATAGTCAGCAAAATAAACAATTACGTAGAGATATTGCTAATGAGCGCTTTTCGAAATCGCGATCGGATGACAAGGGATATTATCCATCATTATGATTCAAGTTTTTAAATATTTTATTGAGTGTGTGTTTGTCATTTGTCTCATATCTGTGTTAAGCTCTCTTGACGGAAGAACATACAATTTTAAATCTTGACATTGTTAAGCTATTCGATTCTACAAGTGTCTGATGGGATTGTCAATTCCTGTACAAAACATAAGTTATTCATATTAACGTATATTTTGTTTTAACTATTAAATTTTATTGGCAATGTTTTTGTTATAATCTCCCTTCCATTCCTCCTATTTCTGTAATTGACTGTCCAATCGAAGTTCTTAGCTCTTCAATAAGTAGAGAATAAACGAGTTTTTTTCTCAGTTTTTTTCTGTTTATACTTCACGCCTACTTAACTGGTTAAAACGAAACTGTGACTTGTTTCGCAATTATAACCAAGGGACAGTTTATTGAAAAGCAAATATTCACATAAATGTTTACTTACAGATCAAAATTTGGCCGAAAAGGCCAATTTAGTTCACTGTTGTCTACCAAGACATTAACACAGCCACCTGGCAAGTTTCATGGCTCTGATGGCATTCTTCAGGGTGCCATCAATCTCACTCACATAAATAATCAAGAAGAAAACATGCATATTGAGCCATCGGAAATCAAGAAAGATCATATATTTAGAGCAAATTCAAGCAAAGCTTTATCTGAGGATTATCATTTAAGTACATGCTCAATCCAATCTACCAAAACATTAGTTGCTGTAAGTGAAAAAAAACAAGCGTCAGTTAATTTGCGGAATAGTGTAATTGACTTGACCAAATTGGATCAAAATAATATCGACTGTTTTGAGCAATGTGATAGAGTTCAGTGTCCTTTACATCAGAAATTGTTCTTCAATGCCAATCAGCTTAACAAAGAGCCGAAAACGTGCAAACATTGTAAAAATGCATGCAATGCATCTGAGGGCACAAATATTGATGTAGAACGGAACCATCAAGCGGAAGATGGGGAAATATCATCAGACAATGTGTCTAAATGTGTGGATTTTGCGATAGAAGTGAGCGATAAGCAGCCAGATAGGATTTTGAACAAAAAAGGTAACGTTTTTTAAGTATTAAAGTTATTCCAAAGAATCCACTGTTCTATGATAACCCTTATATTTTTATGTACAACATTTACAGTTGATACTCATTCGAACATTTATAGAGTTCAAAATAATTGTTATTATCCAAGGTCACAATTTGCTTTGCCTAAAGTTTGCTAGGATAACAGTTCTTTTAATATATCATTTCATGAACTGCTTAGATGTACGGCACCTTTGAAGCTTCTTCACTGCTTTCTTAACTGCTTAACTGCGTTAACTGCTTTCTTCTTACAACTCCAGAAGACGGTTGTGAAGCCGTTAGTAATTGATCAGTATCTTCTTTCCTCTATCTACTCTGTCCCTAATATTTCCAATTGCGCAAGTAAGTTTTTTATCAACACCAAATACATGTGAAAAAGTACACAAAGCTGAGGGTGTTTTTCAGTTTTAGATGACTTATCATTGATTGCTTATTTTGTAGTAACTCCAGGTAAAGATAATGCTTTAAATGCAAAAGCTGACAAAACTGTTAAAAACCGGGAATTAAGTGAACGAAGTGTAACTTCTACGAAAACGTTGATCGTTGAAAAGAAAGACGAACTTCGGAATTCGACTAAGGGCGTAATGGATTTACATCGGATAGATTATAGTCCAGGTGCCGACACTGCAAAGAACGAGAAAATAGTACGCAATCTTGATGCAATTCGTCGCGGCGCAATTGCAAAACAACTAGCGTCTAATGATCAACATTTACCAAAAAATGACACAGTGTCTGAATGTTTGAAACACTATAAAACTAAGCTTGGCGGTAGGCCACTAACACCTATTAACACTTCAAATGGAAGCAACTTGTGTTTTGAAAATAAATGTTCAGATTATATTCTGCGCAAAAATACGAGACAGTTGGAGCAAGCACATGATAGATGGAAAAGCAGTAAGAAAATAGAAGATGAAGTAGAACATCAAAGAAACAGGAAAATTGTCGAAAGATCGCCAAGCTGCGAAAAAAAGCGTTTTGGTTCAAGTTCAGAGTCAAGTGTAGTCACAAGCCTGGAAGCAGCGAATTTGAAGAGTAATGAAGTCATAACAGAAGTTTTCAGATATACGGATAAATCACATAAAGGTAAAACTATTATTTATTTATGATTTTTTGTGTGTATTGTTGCTAAATTAATATTATCATCTGCGTTTGTTTCATGATTGTCTTACTAATAGGAATAGTTGAAAGTTGAATTAAAAGGGATGAAAAATAAATTAAAACGCTGCATTTAAAAAACCAATTTATGAATGTTAATATTTAAAGAAATATGATCGTTTAAACTGGTTTTCAATTATATGTGTATGTGTATTAATGTATTTATAATTTTATTTGTGAATGGCTTTTCTTTTTTTGATCTCAGATTAGTTAGAAAACCAATCAATTTTTGGCGTTCTTTGCAAAATTCTCAATACGAAAGAGTGAAATTTAATTTCTACTTTCTATTCTAGATAACCATGGGGTATTGAAGATACGTTTATAAAATATTGATAATAGGGTCTTTGCATATAATTTTTTTGCGGCTGAGACTTCTTCAAACATTAGCGTGCGGGTGGTTTAGAAGAATATCTATGGCAAATTTGCAAAAAAATGTTTACTGTGAAAAAAAGAGATAGAAATTTAAGCCAGAACGCGGTTTTACTGGCTGTGACGTCAAACGGTACGTTGGATAGAATTCCTACGGTAGTCACAGACTACATACTATTAGACGTTAGTTATATGGCCATAACCAGCACAGATAAGCAGTATGTAGGTACCTACACTTGCATATTACATGTGAGCAAGCTGAGCGTCTTTAAGGCCTACATTCAATCACAGATGATATGTAAAATAATAAAGCTTGTTTGACTGGATCTTCCGGCTTCTGAATTTCAATTTCTAAACAATCGAATGTAAACTTTACTATAATGTGCACGAAAAAGTATAGGTAGAAAGAAGTCTTTTAATTCCGAAATCCCAAAATCATTACCTAGCTCAGCAAAAAGCGATTTTTTTTTAAACTAGATAAATATTTGCAAGATTCAATTTTGTAGTATCTCGAAGTAAATTAAATAAATAAAGTGTCATTATTTACTCCCAGGTATAATCAGCTATTATTTTGGATTATGAAAAAGTGTGCCTAAAATACCTATAAATGTGATTTTTTGCAGAAACATCTGTGTAGTTCCGCCGAGCTGCTTTCAACTACAATTTCCGTTTCTTTTTGTATAATGGCACTTTTACAAAGGTTTTTCCTGGTGTGGACATAGTGGTACTTGTGCAGTGTGGCACCATACAGTATCGATAAACCATTTTATTTTTCGTAATTGAGAAACAAACAAAGCGAAATTCACAGTAGAGCACGACAACAGGGATAAGCGCCGAATGAATGTAGCGGAGCCCAAACATACGTCACATAACGCTTATTCACATAACGCTTAGACAAAAAAACACGTCGTTTTGGCGCACTTTGTGTGTGTTTAAACTTCGATGGCTGATAAATTCGTTATGGCTAGGCAGAATAAGGAAAAAAATGTGTACTACTTACCCTTATTTGTTCGTCAATAATCGATTTTACCAAATAAAAAAATGTGCAACGACCCTATTTTTAATACTAATCTCACGGTCGCCATTCTTAAATTACTGCATACTTAAATTTACAATTTATACAGGGAGTCCCGAAGTTGATCAACAATGATAAGGCGTACAGAAGACCTGAAAATAAGGCCATATAAAAAAAATCCGTTCTGGTAAAGTGACCAGTTGAAAAATGAAATTTATTCGTAATTTTTTAGATAAATTTCATTTTTGAACTTGAACTTGCGACTTTGAAGGCCCATAATTCCATAAAGGAGCCAGTTTGGATTTTTTTTTATATGAAGTACTGGCCTTATTTTCAGGTCTTCCGTACACTTTATCATTGTTAACCAACAATTTCAGGACACCCTGTATAAGACATTTCAAAGGATTGAAAATATTTGTTTGCGTTCCAGTAAAGTTCCAGTTACAGAAACATATTCTTTGTTGAGCTGATTTCCTTTACATTATGTCTTATTTTAGATGAGAAAATAGCGGAACCAACTGATAGCAATGTCCATAAAATGTATCCTGAATTATCTCAACTAAATAGCGAAAGAAGTAAAATAAACTCTCCAAATAACAAAAATTGCGCAGAAAATCTGCCTCACAAGTATCGCGTTTCTGATAGTCCAGCTACTCAAAAAAATAACGAAGTTTATGCAACATTCGATAAACCTGAGGATAGCTCTGCGGTGTTTCGAAAAGTGTTTTTGGTTGATGGTGTAGGACTGGAGTGTCAATGTTGCATATCAAGTTATAAAATTGCAAAGCATTAGTTAATTTATATTTATAGTGTACTAAACAACATGGTTATTTTATTATATTTAATTGTGGTGAGAAAATAGAAAAATACTAGAGGCGAATTAAAAAGGATATTTTTTTATGTTTGCCTCAAGTATTTTGCGCTGGAAAAACAAGAAATAATTTAGTCCAAAAAGCAAAATTTTTTATGCATGTTTTATACAGTTGTGTTAAATGAATGAATGCCAAATACCTATGTAAATGGAAATAGTAAAAAGGTCTGTTTAGTATTATAATAAATTGTGCGGCCTAAATAACTATTAAAGCGGTTCTACAATTTTTTCGATTGCTCTGGGCGTTATTTTCTTAGAACTTTATTGAACTTTATAAGATAAACTTTTTCTTTGTCTTTGTCTTCATCAATATAATTATACTTTTATTTGACGAATTGTTTTCCTAAATTACTTTCTCTACATTATTTTACTCGATCTAAGAAGTTAGCAAGTTCCGTTATATAAGGCAGAGTTCGAGACAACGCTTTACCTAGATATTTATGTGAAAAATATTTCGCAAATGTTACTAAATTGCAATTTAGTTTCTGAACGGTTGCCGTTCTACACATCTATTATATTCTTTGATGAATTGCGCATAACTTTTCCTGTATTTCATCACTATGATAAAGAATTAAAGGGAGTCCTTAAGCTTGCCGTTTGTTTATAACTTGAACAAATGAACAGACATCACATGGCGCAAATGTGCGGTCTGGTTATGGATATAAAGTAACTTAATCTTTGTGGGACAGATTATTTCTTATCTTTAAACTATGTATGAAATGTACATAGTATTATCGTCGCCAATGCATACGGTTATTCGGAGATTTATGTGCTTATAACATATTTGTGTTTTTCAATTCCTTTCCAAAATATGGAACTACCGACGGTTCTACTATCGACTACACTGAGTCACTGGATCATCAAAACAATAAAATTGAGTATCTGCGAATATTTTTAGATAAGATACAATTAATGTTTATCAGTTTACCATAAGGATCGGGAAACAGTGTACTGAAAGATGGCTAAAAATCTAAATTGGTGCGATCATTTGCTCAAGTTATAAAAATGCTTTAAAACAAATTAATTTGTGTGGTCGCTTGCGGTTCATATGATTATTTCGCGTCCATCAACAATTTGATAAGTACATCCGGCCCTAAAAGGTTTACTAAGCCGAACAGATGCACTTTAGTGAAATATGGCAGTGTATCCAAGTTGTTTCCGACATCTAATTTTGCTGTGTACAGTGGTTTTCGTTATTTGCTCGCAACAGTCTATTTCAACAGTTTCTGATGCTGACGTAATCACTACAGTTGGGAGTGTAAAGCCAGTTAGTGAACCAATTACCGGTAAGTAATTGATTATTTGCAAAAATCAGGAACCGGTTTATTTTATTCCTTGTTCCTAAACTTTTCTGGAAATGTAAAATGGAAATATTGCCGCTAAAAACTTGCCAACTATAACGCATAACAAATTTTTTCTCCTTTATTTGGGTGCCGCAGAGTAAAACCGCAAACCCGCAAATAATCACTATGAATATCTACATAAGTTTTTAGAGTGAATATTGAAAGTCTCTCTATATGTATACACATTGTTCATTTTAATACTGCCATCATCTGAAAGCTAAAATACCATTCAATTCTAAAGCGATGAATAATTGATGAGGCTTTTAACATTGTAGACATCAATTTTTTCCCAAATTAAAACAACTTTATTAGAATATTTTTCTTTTAATCTCTAAATAACAACTTTTGAAAATGTTTTTTTTTCTAAAATAGAGTGGAAGAGGCCAACAGAATTGAGAATTTTAAAGATAGTGAGAAATATTGCCAGATTAAAACATTTTACAAAAGAACTAATTCAGTTCAAAACTTATTATCTCGGGCCAGGCAAATATCATTGCCAAAAAAACAGAAAAAAATCTTGATTCCTCAAGTGCTATCAATAATACATGGAATCAATTACTGGGTGTTAAAATTGTTGTGTTCTTGAGGCAAATGTAGACATCGCTTTTGAATTTTTATTCATTTATGCCTTGCATATTATGTTTTATTTACTTATAAGATTTATGGCCATTCATTAACATTAATTAATGATACAACTAAAAGATGATAAATCAAATGTCAATTACTTCTAACATAAAAAAATAAAATGTAAGTAGGTAGGCACAAGTAGCGTGTCCCGCAGCATCCTGATACAGACCATTTTATTAAACCTTATCTAACATATAAGTGAAATTGAAACTTTCATTGTTTTTACGTAGGTCTCATTTAATTGCCTACAATATGGTTTTGTCTATTGTCAGATAGTGTACATAAGTTGTAGATAAGCTGTGCAATGATTGATTTATTACCAAAAGAAGTAGGTACTAAAATAAAATTAGGTAAATCTATATTTTTAAAATTTTAATCTATATTTATCAATGTCTAGATAATACGATTTATTTATCATATTTTTCCAGAAGAAAATATCACAGCAGGTACGTCGTCCACTAATGAGACTACCACTGAAACTGCTATAACTACAACAACCGCAGAAACATGTGGAGGTAAGTACATATCAGTGTTCAATGAAATCGGCAATATACATATATAGATTATGTTTTATCTACTACTGGACATTTATTGGGATTAGTGTAATATCAGTCAAGCATAAATAATTTACAGTGTGTACTAAATATTTAACATGTACCAAAAGTTAAGAAAACACCCTGTTGTGAATTTAATGACTATATGAAGCGTAATTGAAAATTAAGTATAGTTAAAAATAAGTAAGAGCACGGACGATCTCTTTTATCTATTATCAAACCCATTAAAATCCAGAAAATAAATGCAACATAATGAAACAAAAAATGTTCCTCCAAATTGTCGTTGAATAAAATAAAATGTTAATAATTAATTTTTTGAAACTGCTTGAAGGGATTAATTATTTCGGGTCTGGTTAAATAAAAAATAGAATATTCTATTTTGCCTTTAAGAACAAAATAATTAAGTAACCGAGGCAAATATGGAGATATTCTGAGCAATACAGTGTTACTGGCAAAATCTTCAATGAAATTTACGAGGAAAGCAAAATACATTTATTATCTTACCCCAAATTCCTTCCCAAGTTAATTCATAAAATAAATTTAAAAAAATATGTAAAACATTTGATTATGAAAAACTGTGAAATATAATGAATACGATTTTAAACGATATTTTATATAAAAGAAAAAATTTCTGTGTCGATAAATACTTTTAACGATAAAGTGGGTGTTTTGATTGAATTTAATTAAATAAGCTCGCTAAAAACCGCAAGGAAATAGAAAAGTAAACTCAGTTTTAAGCAATTTTCATGTTTCATGTCAAAAAATTTCAATGCTTTTACAACTTGCTTAAAATCGGTATATATTTATAAATCGACTTTCTCAATCTTTTTTAAATTTTATCCCAACTTATCTGCTTTATAAAACCGAATATATCGAAAGTAATAAATACTTTCGAAAATAAATCTGAGTAAATGTCCATAATAGCGCAATGCACAAGCAAGATTTTGTTCATTATGTCTTACTGATCTCAAATGTTTAATAATAATCACCAATTAATCGAGCATTTAAACATATATACTAATTCAAACTCAGATTCAAATTACATATTTTAGATTGATATAAATTAACAAAAACTTTTAAATCATTCATTTGGTATAATGTCTAATATTTTCCTAAAGCAAATTTCATATAATTGTGACTACATTCCTGTATTTTCTTACGTTTTTTTCAGATACAAGCATTATAATTATTTCCGAAACAGCGTTTCCAACAGAAATTCGTTTATCCATTAACATAACCACTACAGACAATGGAACGTTTTGTCCATTTACGCTGTTAGTTAATTGTACCACAATTAATGATTGGTCTTGGATTATTTCAAAAAGCGCAAATTTTGAATTCCGTTTGGAAGAACCGATTTCTACAGTAATTCTTGATCATTTAGCCAAGTTTACCAATTATACATGCGAGTTTCAACAGGCGGGACAACTTTTGTTATTTACAAGTTTCACAACAAGTGAAGATGGTAAGTTTATAACTAACTAATAGCAAATTATAACTCATCTCTATGTAAATTATTCAGTATTTGTTACCGGATGTTGTTCCTATCTTCTTGTTTGTCATAATATTTAATTAGATTCATTTGGATAATTTAATAGTTATTTTATCCAACTTCAACAGGATGTTTTGATTTTAGTGCCATCCACACCTGAAAATGTAACTGTTAGTGCGATTACGCCCACCAGTTTCAATCTTTCGTGGACCGAACCGATTGAAGTGCCAACCGTTCTATTCGGCTATAATATAACAATACAAAGAGGCGATGTTTCTAGCAGCAATCACTTTTGGAGCGATTGTTTCAACGGAACTCAATTATTTGAAATCTACATAAACAGTTCCGCAGAGTCGTTGTCCTATAATTTTCAAAATGCTTCAGCTGATTTTAGTTATGATGTATCGATATCAGCTTGGTCCAGAATTGGAAACGGAAATTCGACAAATATAAATATATCAACAACTAGTTCAGGTAAATTTAGCGAAAAAAGATAGATAGTAGTAGATAATATATAGGAGAGCAACATATTTATCTTTATTAGACGCTCTAAGTTGATTGTCAAAACTTTCTTAATATTTAACTTGAAAGTGCTTTAGTTTTTTCGTAATTTTTTTTCGTAATTCGACCTCAAGGTATTGCTAATCCAAAATTGAACATTTTTTTTGGAAACTTGGGACTATTCTGCAACGTTGAAGTTTATTTATAGTGTGGATATTTTTCGTTTGAAGTTGATCACAAAGGGGACAATTTTTGCTAAATTATTTTCAGTAAACCTTAGGATAGAGACGAATTTGTGCGTAAATATATCCAATTTATGCGGCTTTTTAAGAAAATATATCTACATTTGGTAATATTTCAATGGCAATAAATCATAATTGATTATTTTAAATGAATGTTTCATTGTGTAAGTCGGTTAATCTTCAGTCTATTATAAATTTAATAAATATCTTACAATGTGTAATAATACATAATAAATAAAACAAATGCGAAAGAAAACTCAATGAAACTGCACTTTTATGGTGATTTACTTGACCATAAAACTAAAATATAAATAAAATATGAATACATAATGAGCACCATGTGTGCACCACTTGATAGGAATAAATTGATAATTTTCTGAAAAATATGCATACTTAATTGAAAATTGCACATTTTTTAGAACAAGAAAAAAAGAAAAATAAGACCTGAAACTGTTACTTTTTCCCAATCGCTCGCAATTTTTATTGAAGAAAACTTTATCTCAGTCAAATTTAGGCCTCTGGCAATTAACTTTAGACACTAATAGTGAATTTTATTAAATTATCTGAACACACCTGATGTCTGATAAGATTATTTAATTTAGTATCTCGACATTTATGGTACTACTCACTATGATATTACATTTTTTTTATTTTTTAGCATCTGAATCACCTCAAAATGTTATCAAACATTTTTCTTTCACCAACACGACGCGAAATATAAATATGGATTTATCCTTGTCCTGGGACATGCCATGTAACACCAATGGACCTGTAACGTACTTCGTAATCGAGGCTTCTAGCTCTTATTTATACAATTCCAACATCACGTCCAATAACACTTATTGGACGTTAATCGAGCCTCAAACACCACATAATCTTACAATTCCCAATCTTCTGCCTGCTTCCAGCTATCACATGGCATTGTATGCCACAAATTTATCGAACAGCAGCATTCCAGGAAAAAACGTTAGTTTTCAATTTGAAACTATAGAAAACTGTAAGTAATTAAAACAATAGTTACACTTATTTGTTGCCAACATTCAAGTAGAATTATCTAAAAAAATAATTTTCTGTAAACGGTTTGCACCATGAATTTTTTAATCGAATAATTTTTTTAGGATGGTGTTTTCCGTAAACATAAATAATAAGATTAACATACCTTTTGTTTTTGTAGACCCAAATGCTCCGGAAGTCGGGAAACCGCTAATTAGTGCACGCAATATCACGTTTAATTGGAGTGAGCCTACTAATAATCCAGGAAATATTACTGGTTATAATTTTAACGTTGATAGTGTTGAACTCGGCTGGATTCAGACAGAATCATGCAATCTGGAAAACATGGAATCAAGGAATTTCAAATTACAAGATACCATAATCACAATCGCTGTTGCACCTGGAGCGATCTACAATGTCGCAATTTCGGCAAACACTTCAATGGGTCAAGGAAATTCCACAAATATACGAGTGAATTCCAGCCTGGACCGTAAGTAGCTGCACTGGATCCTGCAATTTTACGATACATTTTATTAGTGTTTCTTAGATTTTACTCTTGTGTCTGGCAAAATACGCACAATATAAAACTCCCATCAATTACACTTTCAGATCATATTAATCAGTTAATATAAAAAAAAATTCAGTCAGGTTTTTTTTTTGATTTATTTATTTAAACATGTTGGAATCTAAAATTAAAGACATATTCAAGAGCAGGTAGAGCTATAGGAAATCCGACAAAAATAAAATTTGGAAGTTTTCTCTACAATATCCCTCAAAGTAGTTTCTATTTCTTAAAAGAGTAAATTAGTCCTATAAAATAACATTTTTACCGGCGAGTTTAATTTTAAACAGTAATAATATGCCACAGAAAAAACTTATTTTTATTGATGATATGAGGTTGATGGAAATAATGTTTTGTAATGATAAATCAGTTTTGTGAGAACCCGACGAAACGCTTCCTTTTTAAGGAAAAATAGTTTAGATATTCAATTTTTCACACCATAATGAAACTTAAATAAATAAAAACATAAAATTAAAAGCAAGCTATGAACGTTTTAGTATGGAGCAACTGAGATTGCCTGAATGTTGATTCAAATATTATTCATTCGACTTGAAGAATGTTATTTGAGACTGGTAAAGTCTGATATGCTATAGAGCAACTCTAAATAAACTTTTTACACATAAATCATCTGATTTTATTCTTCCAATCGCAAGTAAAAAAATGTTTCTCTACACCTCTGTGTAAAATCTTCAAACCGAATATTTCTGTATTTTTTTCATTGGCTAGATTGTTCTCTGGACAGTCTAATCCATTTGTTTTATTCCATTATTTATTCTTGTTTGTGTGTGTGCCACCATTTTCAATCACATTTATTTGTTATAAATATTCTTCTGGCGGAACTTTAATTAATAGTTATTTATTTATTTTATAAAAGTATTTAATGTATAAAATAAAATTTACAAAACTTCAAAATCATAAGTAAAGGTACCGCGGAGTTTATCAGATTTCTCTGGCTCTAGTAAGAAATTGCGTGCGTCTGTTAAGTCCAAATTAATACTACTTGTCTTAGTTTGAAATATTAAAAAATACAATTACTTACATAAACAATGTATAACGTTCGAATCAATTTTTAGAGGTATGCACCAACATTTGTTGTTTAAAATTTACTTCAATTTCAAGCATTTCTCGATGACTAAAAACAGAATAAACATTTTTTTTCAGAAAAATTATAAAATACTTTTGATCTTTTTAGTTCAACAATAATTATTACAAAAATCAGATAGGGAACATTTTCATTAATAGACAATACGCAAGTAACGCAATTCTTACCATATTATTGGTAGTGCTGCATGTAAATGGAAACACTATTTTACTATCTACTAATTAATTCAACATTTTACACCTGATTTTTTCTGTTTTTCAGAACCAGAACTTGGAGATATTACCTATAAAATTGATCCGTATGCCGTAGATGAAGATCTTTACAATGTCGGTGGTGTTATATATTTCACTCCGGGCTGCTTCAATGGCTATTTTGACTCATACATTCTTTCACTTCGTGGGGAAAGAGATGGTTATTTTTATAATAAAACCACCGTTCTAATGGATTACAAAGTGAGCGAATACGATTTTTCACTTAGACCAGAACATATTTATACAGTGGCTGTAACAGTCAAAAATAGGGAGTTTAATGTTACAAAGTGGACAAATTTCAGCTCTCCTGCTGGAGGTGAGTAATAAAGAGTTACTAGGGCGGATGTTTAAACATTGACAAACAAGCATTAATTAATGATTTTAGTTCCGACGTTTAACGAAGAGAGTTTATCAACTATTGAAATTAACACTACAACGACTGAAGCATCTCTGATTTTAAGAAATGAGTATTTTAATAGTAGTTACGGCACTATTAGGTATCTGGCAATCATTATTTCGAGCGAAAATGTAACTGCCGGGAAAACGTATACATGGGGAAATGAGTCTGAGTGGCCAATACCAGGAGCTGAGGCTGATATTTATTATCAGGCTACACCAAAATATTGGCAACCATTTGAAGGTAAGTTTTTTCAAATAAAACAAAGCATTTATTAAAAGTTAGCAGTAAATGAATACACTCAAAATTGGTTCATACACGGACAAAATTCCTTTCCTTTAGCAAAAATTGCATGCATTTCATAATATTAATTTTTTATTGCTGTATCATATTTTTTCAAACCTACTTTGAAGTTCTTTCTCTTATTTACCCAAACAGACAGAACAGCTCATTTTTTTGAAATTCCACGGGTTTAAAGTAAGGCCAAATGTGCAGCAGAATTATCGTTAAAAGACGGATAAGTAACATTTTACGTCGTTTTCAACCATTCCAATAGCGGCAATTCGAACAGCCAATAATAATTTATTATTGGAAATTTTTTTATTTAATATTAGAAGGCGATGTTTATTTCATTCATTCATTTGATGATTTACCGTCGAAAACTATACCAGCGCCGTTTCCTGAATTTTTTCAAAAGCATAAGCAAAAGTTATATAACGAGGCGAATATATTTTTTTACATTGCGATAAACAGCGTTTTTACATTGATTGCATTTTGAATTCCTTAACATATTTGGTTTGCAATTTTAGAAAGAAATATTTTACACAAAAAAGATGATGATGAAAATGTTCCATATCGATATTTATTTTTTATGGTCCACCTTTATTGAATGATGTTCGATCTCAGTCGAAAAACTCGTATCTATACATTTTGTAGAATAATTTGTTCACTTTTTTATGGCGTCCTGCAAAACAAAATCAAATCATTCAATAAGACATAATTAAAGTATAACGAAATAAGACAAAAATGATTCTGTTGCTAGGGGAAAATATTATCTACGGACCACGTTTCAATTAAGTATTGTAGTATTCATAAATTAGTATTAAGGCATCAAAAAATCGAAAAATTCAAGCAAACATTCGTAATATTTCATTTGCAAGTCCATACAATATAACCCAAATCTCCGAAAATATTCTGTTTACAGCAATAAAAAGTGGAACAGTCGACATTAAAGCAAATTTAAGTTATGCCACGTGAATTTGAAAAATGTCGCATAAAAGGACATTTTCTGCAGTTTGTCTTTAGCATTAAATATTTTGCAATTTCGCAAATTTATTGACCAGAGTAATACATGTTCACTAACCTCAGAACATCGTTTATATGTCTGACGAATAAAAATATTAATTTTATTATTTAAAAAAATATATTATTTATTACTTTATAAAAACAAGTCGTTATTACAGACACAAGATTCCAAACTGTTACATCTGCAGTGTTTTCAACTTGTACTGGGTGTGAAACTAAGCTTTGCGCGTTTTTCAGATCATAAATATTAATTTCCTCAGGATTTTAATTTTAATTCCGATTTTTTACTCCTGTTTTCCTAAAAATGTGTTTTTCATTGCAAAATATGTGTAACTTTTGGCTTTCTGAAATGTTTTAGATTCCGATTCCGTCGTTTATGTAATAGGAACAGACGAAAATTGCGAAGAACAAACCCAATTTTGTAATGCTCCTCTTGTTGCTGATAAAACCTATTATGTGTTTGTTAGAGTGTTTAACTCTAATTTCTACAGAAACACGATGCCGATAATAATTGTCACAGATGCCCTCAGTAAGCTTGGCCTAATTTTGGGTATTATTGCTGGCTTTCTTGCTGCCTCTATTGCTGGATTTATTGGTTTTATCTTATGGAGAAGGGGTATTATTAAGTATGTACTTTATGTGTGGATTTGATGATCATATCAAGCATTTTCCATTATTCATCAAATTCACGATCAACAAATATCTGAAAACAACTATACTAAATATTATGACCAAATATAAAATTATTCATTTTGTTCCACATGAGCAGATAAAACGGATAACGCGGTTTACATAGTGTGAAGGTACATTTTAGAACTAATTTATTGTTTTAGCAATACAAATAAAAGGATTGTTGAAGATTCTAGTCAGGAAACCGAATCTGAAATATCGATACGCAATAGCGACCGCGACCCTCTTATGTAAGCTCACAAATTATTTCTTGTACGTACTAACAATAACAATAAAACTAAAAGTTGCATGATTTAACAATAACTACTTAACTCTTTTTTTGAAGTAATTATACAGGGTGTTACAGAATTCGAGTGGTGAAAGCGAAATTGAGCTGGTCGCTCGCACTTTAAGAGTTGTAACATGAAAACATATTTTATCTACATATAAAAACTTTTGCCATAATACCTATTCTATTATTTCGTTATGCCGGAACTGCTTTTTAAATAAACTATTGGTTTAGTTTCTTACACAAAAAATTTATTGCAGGAAAACTTTATATATCTTAATATTTATAATATCGTTATTCTTTCTATAAATCACTTAAAAGGTAACTTTTGCATGTTCTATTTTACTCTGTGTGCTCAGAAACCACACAAAAGCCGAAATAATACATATAAACCACACACCTCTATTCAGCTTCATTAAATCTTTGCCTAAAAGAGTACCAACTTGATGCTGGCTTTTGTCACTTTAATTCAGTACATCCTGTAGAATAAGACCAAATAAAAACTTGGTAACCTCAACTTCGGCTTGCTTAAATGTTTACAGGCTTAGCATGGCCCCGTCTCTCCTCATCCATATTTAGAATGCATCTCATATTTCCTGTAAGTTAAACTAATATATATTTTAATTGTATTAAGTATGTATAGGTTTCACATAAACTACTTACGCTCAAACCAGACAAAAAGCGAGGTAACAATTTATCTCTTAATAATTATATACAATGTGGCCAAAAATACGCTTCTTTTATAGTTCCTTAACTAGTATTCTAGAGTTCAACATTTTAATTGAAACGTGCATGCTGACTTAGTAGTTTTTTTTTAAATCTACATAGAATTTTCCTATTTTATCGATCTTCAACATGAATCAATTTAAGCTATCCAGATAAAATTAAATACAAAACATTTCTTCGAAACAAAAATGATGATATAAAAATTGGTTTCCATTCAAAATCTGAATAAGCTATTAGGACTCTATAGATTCGCTATAAATAACTCCGGATCCTTCACTTGTGTAATGCATGGAAAATATGTAACTTTTGTAGATCGTTTTTTAAGTCGGAAAATTCCAACTCAGCAACGGAAATTCCTAAATCAAAATTCATCGAATACGTGAACTATTTGGAACGCAATCCGGACGTTCTAAACAAACAATGGCAAGATTTGGAAATTAAAAGCCTGGAAGCGTATGGGGAATTGAAGAATCATTTCGCCTTACTACCAGAAAACAAGCGAAAAAATAGATACGTAAATATACTTCCGTGTAAGTAGATTTAATTCAGATTTTACTGCGATGACAAAGAATTTTGAAAACATTATTTCATTTCATTCTAGTCGATCATAGTCGAGTGAAAATCAATATAGATGAAGATGACGAAATATGTTCCGATTACATAAATGCTTCTTATATAAAGGTTTGGATGCGTTTGAAAGAGAATTTATATTTTTTATAACAAATGCTCTTTTGCTCTTCTAGGGATTTTCAAAAAAAAATCAATATATTGCAACCCAAGGTCCTTTGCCTCATACAGTCAGAGACTTTTGGAAAATGATCTTTCAGGAGAACGTTAGTATGATTGTAATGGTTTCTAGATTCATCGAAAATAGGAAGGTAAAATAATGTTTTTTTTATTTTTCTCACTGTTCAATGTCTCATCGAAATTAATCGGAAATAAAAAATGACAAGGGCTTACAAGTCTATACAGGGTAGCCCGAAGGAGATGCTACAAAATTCGGTTACAGGTTTTTGGGGAATAATTTGCCCTCTTTAGGTAGTAACAGTTTGACTTCTTTACTTTTAAAGCTTATTTTTTAACCTTAACCTTTTAGCTTTAACTCTTATGTTTAGTTTTGTTTAATCTTTGAAAAGAAGAAAATCGACATTTTGATGCATTTATTTTCGGACACACTATATGTACCTATAGATAATTGGCGCATTGTTCCATTGGTGAATTGTGCTCAACGAATCAAATTAATATTTTGTTTCAGGAAAAATGTTACAAATATTTCCCAAACAACCACGAAACAATGTTTATTGGTGACGATTTAGAAGTTCGATGTTGTACGGAACTGTATTTCGAAATATATTATGTTAGAACTCTCCAAATACGAAAGGCAAGGAAATTATCAATATAAAACAATTACAATCAAACTTGTATAAATAGTTAATTTTTTCAGGACTTGAAACAACTAACTGTAACTCATATGCAATTCATGGAATGGCCAGATTTTGATGTCCCTGATGGGACAAGTAATTTGTTACTTTTCTGCCATCAAATGAGAAGTCGCTGGGCGAATGAAGGGGGACTGGCAGTAGTTCATTGCAGGTATAAAACTAATTATACAAAAAATTATTCGCACGTTACTAACAATATATCTACGCTGTTTCAACAATTTTTTCATATTGTTTGTCTGATGTGGAAAAAATGTGTTGGATCAGTTAATCATTATGCCACTGCTGGACATAAGCTTCCTCCGCGGGAATTTCGCTATCAAATACATTTTTCAATGCCGTTTGCGGCCCAACCTAAACCGATTCTTCTTTGTATCTCTCGTGTCGGGTTGTCTCTACTGATTTTTAATTCGTGACCAAGGTATCGATATTGTGTAACTGCATCTATGATATTGTTTTCCAGTCTGTTTTATTATTCCACCGATGACTAAGTTTATCATTACATTTGTTTTACTTTGGTTTATCTGTAATCCCACTTCTTTGGCTTCTTGTTCATGTTGATTATCATTGCTTCGGCTTTATGTAGGTCATCGGCAATGAGGACAATATCGTCGGGGAATCGAAGGTTACTGAGCATTTTTCCGTCGATATTTACTTCTGTCTTTAATTTTTAAGCCAGTTTTTAAAGGCGTATTTAAAAACTGCCGTGAAGAGCTTTGGTGACATTGTGTCCCCTTGTCTTACGCCTCTCTTCAATGGGAACTTATTGTTTTTTTTCGTGGAGTTGTACACTTAATATAACTGCAAAAAAGGGAGCTTATAAGAAAATAAGCGTATACTAATTAATAAAAAACCACGAAAAGTAAACATTTTTAGCATTGATTTTTTAGTGCTGGAGTCGGAAGAACTGGGACAATTATTGCAACCGATATTCTGACTCAAGGTCTCGCAACTGAAAAAAGTTTAGATGTTTTCAATACAGTATTAGAATTAAGAAAAAGTAGGAAAAGCATGGTTCAGTCTGAGGTAAGTTTATATATTAACTGACACATTCTCCAAAATATGCACTCGAAAGTGATGTTTTGATCACACATTAATTTTTCTAATTTTCAGAAACAGTACATGTATATTTATCAATTAATAAAAAGCCTTTTAGAAGATCCTATAACTGAAGGTAAGTGATCATTTCTCATCATAATTTGAACAAACCTGAAACAAATAACATATTTAGACAATAATTTCCACTCTTATTTTAGATGACGACGATTCAAATCATCTATATGCTAATATAACAGTGCCAAGCAACCATAGCATCGCTATAGCCGAAAGCCCTTTATAAGGTATTTTTAAACTCAAACTATGAGCCCAAAGTGTGATTATTGATGAAACTGTACATATTCAAAATGCAAATAGGTATCGATGTTGTAAATTATTCGCAGTTAAATTATAATTTAAGTATATTAAGATGAAAAATATAAAATAGAACATTTCTAAGACAATCCTTGATTTTACACCAATTCAAAAGGAAGTAAGGAATATGGGAGAAAGTCCTAACAGACTGGTGTTAATCTACGGAAACAGTGTTTACTGCATGTGTACTCGTTTGGATCTTTAACGATGGTGTGAAGGAACAAATTAAAACGAAAATTTTATTATATTATTTTTATTGATACAACATACATAATATGTTGTAAACACCAGCTTTCTATTGATTCAGATCAATACAATCGCTGGGGCGGCCCCATGCTCGATTTAACATGCAGAGACCTAACATTTTGCCAATGTTTCTTCAACAAAGACACCAAGAAGTTAATTGACAGATGCACGTTTTGTACTAGTTCATCTTCAGTCATGTCAACGTGTCCTACTGCTACAGACAAGCAAAGAACCTGGAAAAACCAATTTGATCAGAATCCTCGAACCAGACACGTTTCCATCTTTTTATATGGAGATAAATGTCCGCAATTTAAAAGCCACAATCGCATTTTTTCACAAAAGTGGTAGTTATAATTGCCATTTTCTTTTGCACCAATCTTCCATACAAAACGAATTTTAGTTCTTGTTTTGTTGGCTTGATGATGCAATTAGACAGTACAGAGTTCGTTTCTACATACTAAATATAAAATAAGTACCTTTTTCATTTGGAACTTGATAGTAGCTTTAACTTCATCAATTTTTTGGGTCATGGACTCCTGATGAGACAAAAGACCCGGGAATTTACCAGCTTTGTTTAAACCTGGACCCAAGAGACGAGGAATCTGCTTAATCAAAGCTTCAGATGCCAAAAAGGCATCGTATTTCTTTGCCAGCTTCTTGACCAACTTCTTGTTCTTGTTTAGTTTCTTCAGAGCTTCAACGTCCATAAATGGCACACTGTTAGCTTTAGCTTCGTCACAATGCTGTTGATCTCCAAGAACACATACTTGCATTTTTGGGCGAGGAATGTGCTTTAGCCTGTAAAAAAACATTGTAATAATATTTAAAAAATACAATATTTATTTGCTGACAAAATGCTAAAAGAAGACTTGGTTACTACCGTCCAAAAACCAACATACGAACGATATGGCGTTACCATCAAATTAATCATAATATAACTGTTAGCCAGTATACATTTACAGCATGGAGAAAAAATGGTCGTTTGAACATTTGGAAATAATTTACCTAATAGTGGTTTCAAAGGAAGTTTTAATACAGCAAATAAATACACATTTGTTGGACTGGAAGCTTATATATATGCAATTGTGCAACTTCTAAGAAAAGCACCGGGTAAACTTTTATGCAACACCAGAATTTGGGTAGCCTTGAACACAAATTATTTGACCAGTACCTGTAAAAGCCCTTACAGGCAGTACGAACCAACTTACCAACAAATGCAGGCAAAAGGTAGCTTGAGACAAGGTGTTTTATATGGTCGATATTCTTGGAAAATTCCAAGAAATATCTCCCCAATTGTTTTAAGACCCTGGGTGCAGGTCCGCCATTTAATGGCTTCCTAATTTTTTAGACCGTTCAAAGATGCAGAACATTGGATAGTTTCAGTGACTAAGAGCAAATCAATTCAGTAATCTTTACTGCTTCTTTAAACTGCCTAGATCAGGTAACATACTTGACGGTTCCACTGAAACGCTTGTCCTTCTGAGGATCATAGTTCTTCAAACCAATTTGAATTTCCACGGTTTCCAGGAAGTTTCGCTTCTTTTCTTTTGATGTAGTTAGAACAGCATTAACACATTCATACAATGTGTCTCTGGATACTTTCGACCTGAAACACGTGAAAAAAATTCGATATAGAAATATTGGAAAAATAATTTAATATTCGTATATTTCAACGTGAACATGTTTCGAATAGTATACGATTGTTTTAAATTAATGGAAGATTGAAGCGAAAAATGAAGATAAAAAGTACTTACGACATTTTGCATGCAAAGGACGCAGCTTATCACACAAATACCCAAACGGAAAGGCCAGACGAATGAAATGAGCAGAGCGGCGTTGTAGAAGTTTATGACAGAAGACAGAAATTTAGCCAGTGATGCCCAATGTAAAGCGACGTAATAAGACTTTAGGATTTTTATTATATTATATAGAATCTAGAAAATTTTATATTTGCAACTTTTGGAATGTACATATGTCCAAACTGAAAAAATATTAGATTTTAATAATAATATAATTTGTCCATAAATATCTTATTATGAAATATTTTCTCCTGAATACTCTAACGTACAACAAATCATAATCTATAAAATGTCTGTAAAGTTTTATTTTTGTAATATCTGTAAAATTTTTATAACATATTCAGGCAACTATGAAGCATCCTATAAGAAAAGTAGGAAGTTTGGGGCTAAAAGTAAAAGTGATACCAAATTCTTCAAACATCTGCGGCCTAACCACTATGGTGATTCAAAATTAGCGTGATTTCTCTGGGGGTGTTTATGGAGTACAGGAAAAATAGTAAAACAAATTTATTTTCCTCAAATACTGGGATATTTGTAAAAAACTAGATTAGTAAGTCGGCAACACTGTCTTTCTTGTAAAGTCAATTTCAATTTGCCTCATTAACATGCTTCGTAAATATATACAACTTTTAAGTATCACAAGTATATAATGATTTTTGAACTGAAAAATAAAAATAAAAAATCCTTGGAAAAAACAATTTATTCTGCCTTTAGCTAACAAAAGAGGCTTCAAATTGAGATAAATATAAATAACGAAGGTTTGTGCATTTAAAAAAATAGATTCGAACCCTGTAAAACTTTTTTTATATAATCTTATTTTCAAATATATTGATATAGAGTTTTTGCCGCCTTGAATTGCGCCTTATTGCCATTATGCATTGCCACTTACGAATGGCCTTACATACCTCTAATAAATTCAGATTCAAGAAGAATATAGCGAATTTTGAATTACTCTGTTGAAAATTTTTCAATTGAGTTTATTTGGTACTTGAAAATCAATTAAATGTGAATTTTGATGAGAATAATACAAATTAACGGTATATTTACAATTAATAAATTAATTATTTCCTAGGCCTAATTTAAATTCCACACGCTTCAACTGAACAATGGCAACCTTGCTGGTCTAGAAACTTTCAGCATTATCTCGATGGTCACACTGGATACATATAACAGAACCTGACCGAGAGCCTGATCGTGCGCGGTTGTTTCGCTCTCACACATCAGATTTGAGACGAATATTAAAGACGGCTGCATTGTGTACCATACGTTGTAATGAATACGATTACGTAGACTTTCTAGAAACCAGCTGTTGGTTCGAGAAATTTGTTTTGTCTATGTGACAGTCACAAGTGTCATAACAAATCGCTATAGTGTTAAAAAGCGTTTTTGTTGTTGGTTATCCAAAAATTATTGAAGTCGGCAGCCGAAACAACTTGCCAAGGATATTTTCGATTAGGTGTTTCAACAATTGTGTGCATGAAAATGGACGACATGATTCAAGATCCCTTGGGAGATCCCGCTGAAAGTGGCCAGTCTTCACCTTTTGAAAGTGGTGCATGTCCAGTGCAAAGTAATATGTGGTGCAACGACATTCCAGCTCTTAGTCCTGCACAAAATGCAAATGTACTTCCGGGTTATTCGGCTGACCAGCAGCAATTTTTCTTTTCACCTACATCCCAACAAATACCATCGCCAATGTGCTTTGGAAGTTCTAGACAGACTACTGAAGGTGGTCAGTTCCATTTTCAATTCAATAACTATGGGTTCTCGGAGCATAATACAAAAATGCTTTTGGGGAAAAGAAAATCAAATTTACCTCCGTAAGTAAAAGCTTCAAGAAATTTAAGCAATTTCTTTCGACTTTAAAACTTTATAACATAATGTGAAGGCATTTAAAGTAACATTCAGCTGATTTAAAATGCATTAGAGAGCTAGTTTAAGTTAGCTGATGTGAAAGCAGTATCTATCATTTGGGCAAAAAGATTTTGATTTTATTCGTAATTAGAGTATATCCAAAGGGATAAGTAGGGCCACCGAAAACCGTAATGTACCTATACGAAGTTGGTCAAATGGGAAAAGAGTTGAGACAATTAGAAGGCTAAGAGCATGGAACTGTAAAACTTTTGATTACTTACAATTTCGGTTTCTGTTTGAAAATTCCGAATTTCGATTAAGTACCTATATTATTTTTTGGCGTTAATAACAAATCTGGAGCAAAATCGACTGCACGTTCTCACAGCAACTTTAAAGAAACCAGCATCAACTCCGCTTTTTTAAAATCAGCTCTCTGTTGAACAGCAAAATCTAAAACCTCTCTAGGCATTCTGAATTCAACGATGTAAAGGTTTAATTATGTTGTGCTCATTTTTTAACTTAGGCATCATTGTGAACACTATTATGAAAATTTTTGCGTTGAGAGATGAAAATGTAGCAGACTAAAGTAGCAAAAATACTTGTTACAAAAAGTTGTTTGTCTCTGTAAAGAATGGAAAGAAGATTTTAAAATACAGAAAAGTTTGATGTTATCATGTTCTTTTAAGTCGTGAAGAAACTCCTGTGTTGCGGAGCAAACAATACTCCTTGTATTTGAACAAGTATCCGGAAAGGAGACAACCAGACACTCAGCAAGCTAGTAACGGTCTCAAACAGTACGTTGCTTATAATAATCCAGTATTCTCTCGAAAACGAAACAACGATGAGTAGAAATTAAACAAAGCATTATTATCGAAAAATTGATAGATACCCCGAAGTCATCAGCACATTTAATTTAAAAAAATCAAAGGTTTCAACCTTTTGAATACATAATGTTCCAACGGCTTACACCAAGTGATACAGACAGACGTCGAACATTCTGTGAATCGTATACTAGAAAATGTACAGCGGACGGACATTTGCCTTACCAAATTATATGGTCTGATGAAAGTTTTATTTCCAATAATGGTGTATTTATGAGAATAAATGTACATTTTTGGTGCAAGCAAAGTTCTTATTTATGGAAAGAGGAAAATAGGCAGCAACAATAAGGAAGCAACAATTATAAGCTCCTTTGCTTACGATCAGAATTTGACTACGGAAGGATGCTTCAAACGTCTGCTTCAAAATTATTTAGAAGATGCCCTCGATAATCTGCCTTTTGCCGAAGTACGCGATTGTTGGCTTCAACAGGACGATGCACCTGCCCACAATTTAAGAAGAATTAAATAATCTCTGTCCGTTTGACTCCAACATAGACATTTTTTAATAAATATTTAAGAGATTTTTGTAAGTGAATTTCCATACATATCTTACACTGTGTTATACATCTTTGAAATCAAAATAAACAGGGCTTTCAGAGTTTGCTAACAAAAAACAAAAAAAATTAAGTTGATGTCGGTTTCTTGAAGACCAAACGTCGAGGCAAAAACTGATAAGGTGGTAGTGTGAACACCGTGTGTTTCCATGAGAAAGTGCAATCGGTTTTGCTCGAGCTTTGATATTAACGCCATTAAAAAAATATTGAAATTGGAAAATTTCAGGTTTTCCTAATAAGTCAGAAACGAAAATTTGTATCAAAGGTCTGAAAGCGCCTTTGAATTGCCCAACTTTATTCCCATATAGATATAAATAATCTTTATTTCCTATAGATAAAGGCTATCGACCCAATCGGTCTTTCTGCCCTTGAGTAGTACATATATGTCTTAGCCTAGCTTATTCTAAAATTAAGTGCTATTCCTAACACTGGTATAATTCAATCAGTGACAAAAAAAAATTCCTGGCCCACAAAACAAACAGGTCTTAGTCGTTAGTTCAGTTGCGTTTGTAGGTGTTCTAGTAAAGTATCTGTTGGGGTACGAAAACGGGAATGTTTTGCCCGTCTTGTTAGGCAAAGGGGATTCAGTATGGTCCAGTTGTGAGGGTTGTTTGTCCATTTTGTCTGTAAGTGTATTAGTCTTTCCGAAATTTTGGTCATGTTTGTGCGTTCGTATAGTAGTTGTTTGGAAGGGTTGTGCAGGGGGTTTTGGCGGTGTCTTATTCGTGTTATTAGTCTTGTGCAGTTGTTTGTACGTATCGTTTTGTCCTTTCTGTTCCGTTGGCCATGAGTATATGTCCGTAGTCCAAGAGGGGTCTGCAGATAGCTTTGTTTATTTTTGTCGCGGTATTGGTACTAATTCCTTTGTCTTTGTATGTTAGTGATCGAAAGTGTTTTGTTCTTTTTATCGTTTCTGTTCTGATGTTTCG